GCAGAGACCTGATCCTCAGGCCACCAAAACAGATGCCCTGCACACCTTGGCTGCACCTAGAAATCCTGTCCATAAATGTTATGAACAGAATCGGTGACAAAGGGAAGCCTTGGCGGAGTCCAACTCTCACTGGGAACGACCCCGACTTACTGCCGGCAACACGGACCATGCTCTGACACCGGTCATACAGGGACCTAACAGCACATATCAGAGGGCCTGGTACCCCATACTCCTGGAGTACCCCCCCACACGAGGCCCCCCGAGGGACACGGTCAAACGCCTTCTCCAAATCCACGAAACAAATGTAGACTGGTTGGGTAAATTCCCACGCACCCTCCAGGATCCCCCTAAGGGTATAGAGCTGGTCCAGTGTTCCACGGCCAGGACGAAAACCACATTGCTCCTCCTGAATCTGAGGTTCAACAATCCGACGGACCCTCCTCTCCAGAACCCCTGAATAGACCTTACCAGGAAGGCTCAGGAGTGTGATCCCCTGCAGTTGCAACACACCCTCCCTTAATTACGTGATGTTAATTTTGTTTTGGCCAAAATCTGTTCATTATTATAATTTTAGCAAAGCGACTCCTTCCTCAGCAAAACGTGTTGCAGAATCTTTTAATCTGAAAGTTTAATGACTTTAATGTTGAAGGCTGTGAAAAACTGCAATCACAGATCTGCTGCTCCACCTGTGGATCGTCTGTGCAGAAAAAAACAGGTAAAATCTGGAGCTTGTTCGTGTTTCTGCTCCGAGTGAAACTGTTGAATTCACTAAAAATGCAGATTCTGAATGAAGCTGCAGCAACATAATTAACTGTTTCAACTGTTAGCTTGTGCAATCCCATGAGAGCCTTGCAGGCACACACTGTGTGGAGAGCATCACTCCACTCTCAGATATTTTAAATGGACTTTTAAATGTTGCAGGTTGGAAACTGGATGTCATTTAACCACTTTTTAAATATATTTATTTCTTTTGAACAGCTCATTTCTCCTAAAAAAAGAGCTAATATAAGATGGCAGCAATATGTTTTTTCTTAGCTGCACTTAGTTCATCAGCCCTAAAGAATGTAAACACTATTTCTCCAAACTGATGCCCGTCAGAAAGCTCGCTGGAGCAAATAAATAGGAATTATTTATTATGTTTATACTGAGGCACACTTTAAATTGTTTTGGGGGGATTATTGTGCATGGGTCAATGGTTCTAGCTCCATATTCGGGTCATGTATGTTTATATTTTATACTCTTTTCATTGTTCCTTTTGCACCTTTAAATAATAAGTGATCTCAGCTCCTCGCTTGAAGGTAAGTGTTTTTGCTCATGTCTGCTTATTGGCCTGACTTTAATGTTAAAGATTTGGTCATGTTCTAATTTTACCAAAACTATGCTAATTCTGGATATTTTCTAATAAATCTGTTTCTGGCAGAAAGTATTGGCTCTCAGTGTCATGGCAACACGCGTTTCTGCACGTGTCTTTTTGTGCAGTAAAGTGAGTGTGTAGGAGGCGGCAGGCTGGTAAAGTGCCTTTCTGGATCAGTTTATCACGCAGGATCCGTAGTTTTGAGATCAATAAATATCATTTCAGGATTATTAAGTTATTATTAAGTTTAAATTTGGCATGTTTTTTTTCTCCACATACTGAATCCTTATCTAGCTGTTTAACCACACAGACTATAATGATAATAATGATAATAATAATAATAATAATAATAATTATTATTATTATTATTATTATTATTATTATTATTATTATTATTATTATTATCATAATCATTAAGTAATTCTTTACCTATGACTTGAAATTTCTGTCGTTTAATTCAACAAATAAGTCTATTTTACATGAAATAGATTATTTCTCCTGCTGCTCTGGGATTAAGTAATTCCTGTTCATGTTAGTCTGGATGGTTTATTATTCTCATTAGGAGCAGTTAGCCTCTGAATCCTTCTGTTTTAGAGCTGGACTCCACACACGCACGCAGACAAGGCTGTGTCCTTAAACGTCCTGTTGCAGCTCTCCTTCCTGTCAATCATCGCTCACACTCCAGCAGAAGCCACTTGTTTCACATCCAGAGGAACAAGCATGTTGTTTTTCTCTGACTTTACATCATTTCCTCTCTCGATTACTTAAAGTTGACCACCTCGCCCACTCTACTGCATCCTCGGCTAGAGTTACTTTGTTTGTAAATATGAACATATGACGCCATTCTGGCTATCAGCAGCATGTCAGCTTTCCTGTGAGGCTGCTTTAGTGAAAAGTAAATAATTTGTAATACGCCATTTTTAGATGTTGTTGCTTTAAGCAGCATTTTCTCCTTTAGAATAAAAGTTTTATCTATTTAATTAGGAAAATGTAAACATCATCAATAAAAACTTACATTTTTACTGTTTTTTTCAGTGTATATTTTTGGCTTGTTCTTGGTGGAAACATTCATTTTTCTCAATTTGTTTTTGTATCTTGATATTGTTGAATAAGTGGCGTTTTATCAAATGTTCATGTGTTTTTTATGGTTTCAGAAATGTTATTTTTGTCTTTTAACATATGCATTATTTATTTATTTATTTGAATGAAAGAGAGCCACTGAAAAGAGAAGAAAAAGAGTTCTGACTTTTTTTTCTTTCTTTTTTTTCTTTCTGACTTTAATCTCAGAATTTTGACTTTTTTTCCTCAGGATTATTAAAGTCAGAATTCTGGGGGGGAAAAAGTCAGAATTCTAAGATTATAGTCAGAATTATATGGAAGAGGATTAGGGCCACTGAAAAGAAAAAAAAAGAAATGAAAGATAATTCAGACTATTTTCTCAGAATTCTGACTTTAATCTTAGAACTCTAACTTTAATAATCCTGAGAAAAAAAGTCAGAATTCTGAGAAAAATCTGAATGAGATCAAAGTCAGAATTCTGATATTAAAGTCAGATATATCTTTTTTTTTCAGTGACCCTATTTTTTCCATAATAATCTGACTATAATCTCAGAATTTTAACAAGAGTTTTATTAGTTTATTCTTGTATCTTCTGAAATTATTATTTTGTGTGTGTGTGTGTGGGGGGGGGGTTGACAAAAGTAATTTTAAAGATAAAGGAAAGATTAAATCTTTTAGTGTTTTCTGTTTCTTAGTTATGTTGTTGACATTAATCACGTTTCCATGAATAACTTGTTTGCTCTAAATCCGAGACCATGGTCTTGAGTCAGGAAATAGAATGTCTTCTTCAGGTCAGGGACGAGGCCTTGCCCCAAGTGGAGGAGTTTAAGCATCTTGGGGTCTTGTTCACAAGTGAGGGAAAGATGATGGATAGATGGAATGATGCTGCGTCTGCAGTGATGCGGGCGTTGTACTGATCTGTCGTGGTGAAGAAAGAGCTGAGCCAGAAGGCGAAGCTCTCAATTTATCAATCGATCTACGTTCCTACCCTACTCTATGGCCATGAGCTTTCGGTAGTAACCATAATTATTGGATCAAGGATACAAGCGGCCAAAATTATTTTTTCAGCAGGGTGTCTGGGCTCTCCCTCAGAGATAGGTGAGAAGCTAGGTCATATGGGAGGGGCTTGGAGTAGACCTGCTGCTCCTTCACATCAAGAGGAGCTAGTTGAGGTGGCTCGGGTATTTGGTTAAGATGCCTCCTGGATGCCTGGTGAAAATTTCTGAGCACATCCAACCAAGAGAAGACCTAAAAGTAGACCCAGGGCACGCTGGAGGAACTACGTCTCTCGGCTGGCCAGGGAACACCTGGGGATTCCCCCACTGCAGCTGGCCCAAGTAGCTGGGGAGAGGGAAGTCTGGGCTTCCCTGGTTAGGCTGCTGTCCCTGCAACCCGACCCCGGATAAGTGGAAGATAATGGATGGATGGATATGTTTGCATCCTCTAACGTGTTTTGTATCGTCCCTTTGGTTGCTTTGATGTTTGTGTTTTATTTTACTGGTTAAGGATTTTTGATTTTCACATCATTTTTTTCCTGTGGTTTCTGAAGCATTGCCTTTACAACTGTGTTATAGGCTGCATGGTGGTGCAGTATCCGCAAGAAGGTTGCCGGTTCCATCCCCAGCTGCAGCCTTTCTGCTAGACTTAGCAAGTTTAGATGTTTGTCTGGGTGTCCGGTTTCTGTTTAGTGTGTGATTGTGACCCTGTGTTGGACCAGAGACCTGTCCAGTATGTCCCCCGCCTCACTCCTGATGACTGTCCCTGTGACCCTAAAGGAGATGAAGTGGTGAACATGAGTGAGTTAGTAGATCATGATGATTTTATTTTATTTCTGTTTTCTGACCTTTTTCACAACCTTTGAAATGTTTTTGTTTTTCTTTAATATTTAAAGTTTGCCTTGATGAAACCGGTTTAACTGCACAGACCTACAGAGACAGAAACAGCACCGCTGTTTTAAAGATGCTTCACTTTCTGCTTTTGTGTCACACATCATTTTAAAATCAATCACCTACACTCAAAGTAAGTCTTAGTCTGAATCTTCAGCAACACAGTGTGACATTCAGCCCATGTTTTGTAACATCAGTGACACAGCTCATTAATGTTTCCCAGGAATAAAATCCCTGCAGCCTGGTTTTAAAACATGATGGACAGCTTTCCCGAAGGAGCGAAGGCAGTCACAGCACCAGATTAAAGCCCAGAGTAAGCACATATGTCTGCAGACTTCAGAACACTGACTGTAGGGTGAATTCAAAAGTAGATCCTGCCTTTTCCCTTCCCCTCTTTTCTCCTCTGCTTCCGCTCCTCCTTTCTATCCTCCAAACGTCTTCTTTTCTTCTATCTTCCTGTCGCTCTTGCTCTTTTTCTCTTATCCCTCCCCCATCTGTGGGAAGCTGCCATTGTGCGCATGTCGCAGATGAGTCAATTTGTGGAGGCAGGGCATGCACGCGCGCACACACACACACACACACACACACACACACACACACACACACACACACACACATCCTGTCTCCCACGAAGGCATCTGTTTCAGTCTGTCTCTCTGTGAGATGCAGCCCCAACAGAGGAGAGAAGGGGAGACAAGTGGTGGGAGGGAGGGATAAGAAAAGGGGAGAGGTGTGAGGCAGGAGAGCAGAAAGACAGGAGCTTTTTTGAAAGTCATCAGACAGATTCAGAGGAGGAGAGGGTGCTGCTGCAGCCAAGCTTCTGACTTCTGAGGAGTTTGAGCTCAGACATGACTGAGATGCAGCATCCTGGTTTCTGAGCATCTCCAGTTTGTGTGTGCGTGTGTGTGTTTTAATGCGAGCGTGGAACCATGGCGAGTGCTCAGCCGGGGGTCCATGCTTTGAAACTCCAGCCTCCCTCCGTCTCACACACCCTGAGGAACGGAAGCAACTTCATTAAATGGGACGAGGTAAGGTTGTTTCTGGGAAGCCTTTCCCTTTCCTTTTACTGGTTTGTTTAGAAATGAGAAAGCAGCACAGTAAAGTGGTGGTCAGTTTCACTGTGAGGAAGTGTGAGATGGTGATGAGGATGATGATGATGAAGAGGAGGAAACATGCCATGTGGTCAGATGTGTTTACTGTTAATTTGTTGATTGAGCTTTGGCAACAAGTACCTGTGGAGCTGGCGCCAGGAACACTGTATGTGTGTGTGTGTGTGTGTATGTGTGTGTTTGTGTGTGTGTGTTGCCAGTTTCTGCTTTGCCACCTGTTGGTGCAGAATCCATCAACATGTCTTTGCTGTGTGTGTTTGAGTGTGAATAAAAAACATAAACTCTTTTTACAGCTTTCATGGGCACATTCAAACACACATTTTCAGAGCATTGCATCCGTGTGTGTGTGTTTGTGTGTGTGTGTGTGCGTGAGCATGCGAGTGCGCGTGTATTGGTATTCTGAAATATATAGCCTTGACAATGAGAAACGTGCAGTCCGGTCGCTATGGTAACTGGCATGGTTACCAGCACCTAAACAGATCGGATGCGTGCATGACAAACATCAGATGTTTGTGTGTAAATGTGTGTATTAAGATGCTTAATGTCACATTAGATCTAGAAAAGTGAGTGTGTGAAGCCAAAAGTCAAAAGCTTAGAAATGTTAATATAAAAAGAATCAGTTTGTTTCCACAGCAACGGGCGACCACCAGGTTTTCAGTCTGCTCCTGGATGTTTATCTTTCTGGATCCACACTGTGATGTTATGAAGGACAAGCTGTCTCAAACATTTACATGGCACCAAAACGGTTTCATTTATAACTTTACTATGATAATAATTTTAAAGCTCCTAATGACTCAGTGTCATTCTTAAAGCTCGACTTACATCTGGTCATTTCTGCCCCCCCCCCCCCCCCCCGATACATTTAATTTCTCCAAAGTTGCAAACTAAACAGTTTAAGAATCATGCAAAAACTACATTGATAAACATCTTAGGAAAGAAACAAACTATAATGATTGTTGATATATCCATTTTCATATTTTATTTTATTTTTTTAAACACAGGAAACAGGTTTTGGTTTTATTATAAATGTAAAATCAAATTAGAAAAAGGGAACATGGACAGAAAACTGAAACCAGTATTTTAATGGAATTACCGTATTGACCCGAATATAGGACCACCCTAATTATAAGACGACCTCACATTTTAAAATTATTTTCTATGAAACAAAACCTCATCCTATATTTGGGTCAATACGGTAAATCAAACAGATTTATATGGTGTAACTGGTGGATGGTACAAAGACCACCATGTGGTCCCAGAGCCACAGGTTGTAGATCTCATGTTAAGGATAAAAGAAGAACATTTGTCTTTTTTCATCATTTCTATAAAAACTTAGATTTTTTTTTGTTAGTTCATTGTCATAACTTCAATCGTCATTGCATCTCTCTTAGATATGGCAGCATCTAACAATGACCCCCTTAAAGTTTGCTCCATTTGAAATGTACATTCATATCTAAACTAACATTAAGGTATCATTCCAAATGTAGATAAACACACATTTTTCCTAATATTTGTGTAAAATATTTTGTTTAATTCTGCTGGCAGTACTGGTTTGTTTCTGACTAATTGCCTTTAATTTTCACTGTGTGTGTGTGTGTGTGTGCGCGCGCGCGCGCGCGTGTGTGCGCGCGCATGTGTGTCTGAAACTAGGAACAACTGAGCATTTATTTTGCCTCAAAATGTAGTGAAATGTTTAATCACAAGTGTATTGTAGTTTCAGTGTCGTTACAGTTATGATTCATCTTCAGCTGAGACACATTAAGTTCATTTACTGTTGTTTTCTGTGTATTTGTACACATGGAACTACCTGCTTTCCCCTAGGATTTGTCAACTGTCAGTCCAGTCACTCTGTTTGTGGACCCACATGGATTTTATCTCTACTGGACCGACCAAAACAAGGTAATCACACAAAAACAGACTAAATGTTCTCAGTCATCAACTTCATGCATCATTCATTTAATTTCTCAACATTGGAGTCATAAAAACATCAAAATAGAAATGTTATCCTAGAAAGTAATAAAGAATACTGTATATTACTTTGTAACCCCAATAGGTAAAGTTTATGCACAAAAGTTTTTTTTATCACCAATTCTGAGCTCAATATCTGACAAACTAACTGAATTACAGCTGTTTGGAGGTCTCCTAAGTATCTTGTTGTGGCGGCCATCTTTAATTGAGTTGGCTTCAAAAGTTAATCATTTGTTGATGAACATCCTCTTATTCATTTCTGAGAGTTTTATTAAAATCTGTCCAAATGAGAAATTTTACTAACATGTAAAAACTTAAAGATCAGACACTGAGAAACCATTTTTTACTTGTTATTTTTCAAATATGATCGGTCACTCCGAGTTTCACAAGCGGGCTGAATGTGAAAATAGTCTTCACTCCTATTTCCCGCATCTTCCGCTCTACGTAGCACCGTCACTTAACGTCCATGGAATCACCAGTCTTGACCCATGGCTGTTGATGCTTTAGTATCCAGGAAACAGAGAACATCACTGCTAGTAGAAGCTAACCGTTAGCATTAGCAACCTCTTCAGGCTTGTGTTGTTTGTGGAGCTACGACATTAACATTGCAGAGCAAATGGAGTCAGTGGTAGTCGTGTTGCTGTTAGCCAATCAGAGGGGAGTTGTCCCAAAATCAGGTAGTAAGACTAAATCCTGCTGTTTTCTGCCCGCCTGCGGCTAACTTCTACTTCCTGAAACAGGAGCATCAGAACTTTTTTCCCTGGACAGACAACTCACAAGAAATTTATTACTAGACCTCTAAAAGTGTATTGAAATAATGAGTGAATGAGAGCTTTGACAATCCGTGCATACCTGAACGGTCTAAGGCCAGTGTTGGTTTTAAAATGGGAAATCAAGATTTTTACGAAGAACTGGGCCTGCAAGTAGATTCTGGATTAGTAGGAGGTCTGGTGGGTTGAAGGTGGACAAGTGGAGGTCTTACTGTGCTGCTGGGGAGATGGTAGATGGGGAGGTTGGTTAGGTCTGAGGTGGCGGGATCCAAGTGTCCAGTGGGGTTGAGATAAGGGTTCCAGAGAGGGATTGATGAGCGGTTGAACGGGACTGTGGGAAGGAAGATGCAGGCTGAAGTGAGGTCCAGGAGTATGGCTGAAGGTGTGAAGTTAACAGGATCTGAGTAAAAACAAGGAGCAAATGTCAGGTAGAGTAATCAATGATATAACTAGACTAGAGTTTCCTGCGTGGCAGGAGAATATCCAACTGGATACCCATGTGGAGTAATCAACCAGCGTTGAGCAGTGGTCTCCCTCCTGCTTTTAAGCCAGCAGTGGCTGATGGTGAATCTGCAGCAGCTGGTTCCGTTCAGACACCGCTCACCTGGAATGAATGCTAGAGGCTGATTAGAAGATGAGCTCACCTCAGACCATGACATCGCAAGTTTTTTGTGAGATCTGGAGCCACAAATAACCATTTTTATCCACGTGAAAAACATTTATCCTGTTTATGTTTCTTCACCGCTAATAAAACCTGTAATGTTTCATCATGATGCGTCTTCAACATTTGTCTTCTCCACACATGAGCGCTGGAAATGCTTCAGGAAAACTACTTGGTGTGACGTTTCGGCAGTTGTTCTCACAACAAGAACACTGGCAGCTTTTCTGTGTTTTGTTTACAGAACACGAGAAAAGGGAGAAAAATGAAGCAACTTGATAATCATTTTTATCTTAGAAAATAAAACCACTTATGATTGAATGAACAAATGGAAACCAACATACCGGTGAGCAGGAAATCTACAGAATCGATCAGTTGGTTGATTGATCAATTAACTGTTCATCTGCATGTTCGGCTCTCTTTATGTCGATTGTTGAATTCACTCCTTCAATCAATCATTTTTCCTGCAGCAACAATTACTCAAAATATTTTTGGAAAGGTGCAAAAAAGGCAGAGCATGATTTAGAATTAGAAATAAAGGAGTGCAAAAATGATTTAAACAGCAAAATAAACAAATGAAGATACAGAAGCAATATTTTCTGGAATTTCAAATCTTTCAACTGAATGATCAAATCCTTGTGTTTGCATTTATGCATGTATTTATATTTAGATGTGTGTATTTCCCTGTTTTTGTAAATCCAACATTTTGAATAGGAATGGGTTATTTGCTGGGATGCTTGGTTTGGTTTCTAGCTAGCCTGATGCTTTTGGTGATTTTAAATGGAAGCTAAAGACTAAACAAGCTGACCCAAGTTACACAATGCAACAGATTTGAACACTTTCTTTCTTTACAAGGGTGACAAACACTTAAAAATACACTTTGAAACATTTTGATAAATAAAACAAGCTCTACATTGTCCTCCCTGCAGGCTCTGATCCCTAACCTCAAAGGTTAAGGATGTCAATTCCTTAAACTAGATTAGATCTGAAACACAAATGATGTGGTGAAAGGCTGGAAAAATAACTGAATGCACGCGCGTGTGTGCGCGCGCACACACACACACACACACACACACACACATTTATACTTGTGTGGACCTCCATTGACTTCATTTTAGTGACTCCACTAACCCTAACCATTGTCCACTGGATTTCTTTTCCTAACCTAGAATAGAGTAGACTTTATTTATCCCACAGTGGGGAAATTCACTTGTTACAGCAGCACAAACACTTGAGAGAATAATTTAAAGAAAAATTATAACAAAGGTACACACATATATACAAATAGGCAGTAAGCTAGTATTGTAACCTACGACGGCTAAAACCACAAATAAAAATGAAAAACTTGGATTCCAGCATTATGAAGCTTACTGTAAAACAACACAGACATGCTAGATGAAAGACCTATGGTAGCGTTCTGTTTTAAATCTAGGATGTCTCAGTCTGCCTCTGAAGGAGCTGTCCATGGTCTCCACAGTGGAATGCAGCAGGCGGGGAGGGGGGAGTTGTAAGATGGAGGTCATCTTCCCCAGCATCCTCCTTTCACACGTCTCCTCAACTGAATCCAGTGGGCAGCTCAGAATCGAGCTAGCTTTGTGAACTAGCTTGTTCAGCCTCTTCCTGTCTCGGTCAGAGCTGCCTGCACCCAACAGACCACAGCAGAGTGGATAACAGAGCCAACAACAGAGTGATAAAAGGATTTTAGCAGCTGGGAATTAACTCCAAAGGACCTCAGCCTCCTCAGGAGGAGGCTTTGGCCTTCTTATACAGAGCATCTGTGTTGTTGGACCAGTTCAGTTTACTGTTGAGGTGAACACCCAGGTACTTAAAGGTATCCATCACCTCAGTGTCTGCTCCCTGGATGTTTACTGGTGAGAGAGGAGGAGTGTTTCTCTGGAAGTCAGTCACCATTTCCTTCATCTTACTGGTTTTCAAGCGAAGGTGGTTACACTCACACCAGTCCACAGAGTCTGTGATGACTGACCTGTACTCCTGGTCATTCCCCTCAGACACACAGTAGACAACCTAACCTAAACTAATCTAAATCAAAAGTTCATTCACGCCATTAATTCTCTTAAACATAGTTTTAGCATAGCATTTTAAGTAAGTACATTTTATTTATATAGCCCTCATCACAGACGGAAAATCACAAAGTGCTTCACATAAATGTTGTAAAATCATAACGATAAAAATAAAGTCATAAAATGATAAATTATCATAAAACAAATGAAAGCTGATTACAAATTTTTGTTAGAAATAAGAAAATAAAAGATTTAGGTCAAAGCAACTTTAAATAAAGGGTCTTCAGCTGGATGAGAATCAGCTCCTCTAAATCTGAAACCATGGTCTTGATTCGGAAAAGGGTAGAATGCCTACTCCAGATCAGGGATGAGGTCCCGCCCCAAGTGGAGGAGTTTAAGTGTGTCGGAGTTTGGTTCATGAGTGAGGGAAAGATGATCGACAGTCGGATTGGTGCTGCATCTGCAGTGATGCGGGCGTTGTACCGGTCTGCTGTGGTGAAGAGAGAGCTGAGCCCGAAGGCAAAGCCCTCAATTTATTGATCGTTCTACGTTCCTACCCTCACCTATGGTCATGAGCTTTGGGTGGTGACCGCAAGAGCGAGATCAACGATAAGAGGCTGAAATGAGTTTTCTCCGCAGAGTGGCTGAGCTCTCCCTTAGAGATAGGGTGAGAAGCTCGGTCATCCGGGAGGGGCTCGGAGTAGATCTGCTGCTCCTCCGCACCAAGAGGAGCCAGTTGAGGTGGCTCGGGCATCTGGTCTGGATGCCTCCTGGACGCCTTCCTGGTGAGGTTTTCTGGGCACGTCCAACTGGGAGGAGACCCAAGGGAAGACCCAGGACATGCTGGAGGGACTATGTCTCTCGGCTGGCCAGGGAACATCTTGGGATTCCCTCAGAGGAGCTGGCCCAAGTAGCTGAGGAGAGGGAAGTCTGGGCCTCTCAGCTTAGGCTGCTGCCCCCACAACCCGACTCAGAATAAGCAGCTGAAAATGGATGGATGGGTCTTCAGCTGTTTTTTTTAAAGTGGACCAGCAGAATGTCACCACAATGTGGAAATGGCCACACTACAGGTTAAAGTTAAGATGTGTCTACTTAAGCATTTAAAAGTACGTACACACACACACACACACACACACACACACACACACACACACACACACACACACACACATACAGCCGTTTACTGAAATCCCCTGACCTCTTGTGTGTTTTATCAACAGGACACAGAACTGTTGGACCTAACGTATGTAAAAGATGTCAGAACCGGCAGAAGCACCAAAACAGCCAAGGTACCACCACAAAGCAGCTCATGTTTAAACTGTCTTATTTTATATTCACATAGCTCTCCGTGCCCCAGTGGTGACCCTCACTCAGTTGATTCTCATCTAATGTAGATAAAAATGAGATTTTATTCAGCAGTTTTCTTGTTTGTTGTTTTCGGTGGAAGTTCATGAGAAACTGCGTTATTCTTACCAACTACAGTGTATCATTTGTTTTGTTGTAGATTTTTATGTTTACATTCCTTTAAAATACTTTTTTCATTCATTTAATAAAATGTCTAGATTCTTTCAATAATTCAATTAATAAATCGGATGTAGAATTTTTAAACCAATCCAGATGAATTAACAAAATTATTTGGGTAACACTTTACAATAAGTGTCTCTTTATTAACAATGATTGGTGCATTATTAAGTGTTCATAAACAAAGCATCCCTTTATTAACAATCCAGATCTTGTTAACTATTAGATGTACTTAAGGAACCCAAAAAGGACAAAGGGGGGTGAGAGGGCTGCTTATTTATGCATTCCCTAATATTAGCATTAATATTAAACAGTTGTTAATAGTTCATTGATGCTTATTGTTGCACTAAGTAGCATTGATAAATGGATCCTTATTGTAACGTGTTGCTCTTATTTGGAGTATTTTACTGAATTTGTGAATTTGCAAGAGAACAAAGGGTAACTAAAAATAACTAAATAAAAGAAGGATGTTTAGTCCACATTATTACATTTTGTCTGGAATTTAATGTCACACATTTTCATTAAATAATGCTTTACTGGTCAGATGTTGAGGCTGATGATTTTTAATAATTTTCCTGGTAAACTCATCAAGATCACCTCCACCTTCATGCATCAAAGTCTAAAACCTGCCTCAGCCTTCCTTTTGTGGGTTCCAACAGGAGGCCAAGCTTCGGGAGCTGCTCGACGTCGGAAACCTTGTGGGTCGCTTGGAGAACCGCATGGTTACCGTGATTACAGCATCAGACCTCGTAAATGTCACCCAACTCATTTTTATTGCCTCTCAAGAGGACGAGGCCAAGGTAAGGAGCTTGTTGGTGCCGCAAGTGGCGAGGAGACCATCGCTCTGTTGATGAAGTTGAGGATGTAGAAGAGTGTGTTTTTGCAGCTGTGGTGTGAGGAGCTGTTTTCTGTGTCTTCCAACCTGCTGGGCCACAATCTCAACAGAGACCATAGTTTGCAGAAAGCGTGAGTCTGCACACACACACACACACACACACACACACACACACACACACACACACACACACACACACACACACACACACACACACACACACACACACACACACACACACACACACACACAATTAGACATAGTTATTTAGTCATTAGGACTTCTCAAATTGACTTTAAAAATGCTGTATAGCAGGTTAAATTTAAGAGTAAAATAGAAAACTGTACACTTTCAGTACGAAGATGCCTCATTTGGTGAACTGATCTACCATTTTTCATCCTTTACAAAAGCCTGTTGAAATCTCAATTACACTCATCTCCACTACAAATAGGAAAAAGAGGCTACAATTTGCACAAGCTCACCAAAATTGGACGTTGAAGACTGGAAAAATGTTGCCTGGTCTGATGAGTCTCGATTTCTGTTGAGACATTCAAATGGTAGAGTCAGAATTTGGCGTAAACAGAATGAGAACATGGATCCATCATGCCTTGTTACCACTGAGCAGGCTGCTGGTGGTGGCGGTGTAATGGTGTGGGGGGTGTTTACTTGGCACACTTTAGGCCCCTTAGTCCCAACTGGGCATGGTTTAAATGCCACCGGCTACCTGAGCATTGTTTCTGACCATGTCCATCCCTTCATGACCACCATGTACCCATCCTCTGGTGGATACTACCAGCAGGATAATGCACCATGTCATGAAGCTCCAATCATTTCAAATTGGTTTCTTGAACATGACGATGAGTTCACTGTACTATACTGGCCCCCACAGTCACCAGATCTCAACCTGATAGAGCATCTTTGGGATGTGGTGGAACAGGAGCTTCGTGCCCTGGATGTGCATCCCACAATTCTCCATCAACTGCAAGATGCTATCCTATCAATATGGGCCAACATTTCTAAAGAACGCTTTCAACACCTTGTTGAATCAATGCCACGTAGAATTAAGGCAGTTCTGAAGGAGAAAGGGGGTCACACACTGTATTAGTATGGTGTTCCTAATAATCCTTTAGGTGAGTGTATAGGCTTCAGCTGTTTATTGGGTGGTGGACTCCTATTGTGAAGGACTGTAGTTGTGGGAGTACGGATGGTAAGAAAATACTTTCTTTTTTATTTCTCAGCTTTACTCTGGGAATATTTTCATTTATCTTGTTTTAATGTTTAATCTGTTTCCTTTATCTTTTTTCTAAATTTTGCTGTTTTCCGTCACATTTTGTCTTTAATGTAAAAAGAAAACAAAAAACTATTTCTTTACTGTTGTAGTGTGTTTTAGTGTGGGAGTGTGTTGTCCCAATAAGGCAACTTTTGAATATTTGGTTCAGACTGTTTTGAAACCTCTAAATTCTTATCAGATCCAAAACGCTGGCATTTAAAAAACTGTTCTTCATTAGAGAAAAAAAAAACATTTCTTTTTTAACATTCTGTTATAATTTCTCACATTTGAGTTTTGGGATTGATTTAATTCCATTTTCAGATGGTGAGAAAGTTCAGTTCACCTTTGAACCTTAGTAATAAATTTAAAAACATTCTTATGACATCAACCGAAGGTTCTTCCTGTCTAAAATACTTTATCAAACACAGATTTCTAATGTTCACTCAGTTTTTTTTTATTTACTTCTTTTATTTCCCAGAAAGGCAAAACGATGTGAAAAATAATATTTTCACTTATTTTGTTTTGTTAAATAAATTAAATTCACAAAAAAATATATTGACTATATTAGTTTTTTATTTATTTGTGGAGCTTTTATTGAAAATATTAAAAGTTATGTAAAGTTCACAGATTCTCCTTCTGTTTCAGGTACGTCAGGCTGACTCTTCAACCAAATGCAGAGGGAAGAATCCCCGTCAAAAAGTGAGCTCCTGATGACGATTCCCCTCGTGGTCCTCAGGCAGGGCTTCTGTCTGAGCTCAGTGTTTGAGGAGCGTTAAAGCAGATGCGTTCAAACTGCAAAAATAGCTCGACAAAGTCTGCAGAGACGTTTACAAACTTAAACTTTGCACTTTCCTGTCCCTTGCTTCCAAAAATAAAGTTAATTCCATGTGCACTTGGGGGAGCAAAAACAGGGACATGATTCATGAAGGTGCCTAATTCAGCTCTGACCTGGTAATCAACCAGCACCAGAGCATGAGGTGGATTATACATTTATGAAGCAAAGCTGTGTTTTAGAAGCAGGCTGGAAGCAGAATTAAGGTCAGGAGATATCTTGGAATTTGAGGGAAGAGGCATGAAGTTTGCAGCATCAAAAGAAAACACCTCAGAAATATGCATGTTGTTATAGAACCTGTCCGTTTTAGACAGTAGGATGAGCTGATGTGATGTCTTGGCTTGTTGCAGCATTGTTCGACAGTTTTCATCCGACAGAAAGAAAGTGGAGAATGCCCTGGAGAGCTGCAAACTGCCGTATGGACGGGTAAACGCAAGTTTCTATTAACGAGAGTGACAGTAAATACACAAATGTTTGTTTGTTTGTTTGGAAAAAATATCCACTCTGTAGTACAACTCTGTCCAGATAAATGCAGTAAGTACGCACTAGTATCAGTAATAGTCAGACGTATGTGTCCTTTTATCATTAGCCAAGGCATGCTGGTGCAGCTTGGACACCTCATCGTTAACACATTCAGTCATGTGATGTTTCAGGTTTGAAATCATCTACCTTAAATGACCTGAAGAGACAGGTCCTACATTTTGAGCAGGTTTTGTGAATTACCATGTCACTATTCTTGAGTCTGAGCCACCACAGAGCTACAGCTCCATCAATGCTTTTGTTGGACAGAGTACTGAATGTACAGACATCTAGTAGTGTCCCAGGAGTAGCATGATGTGCTTCCAGTTCCAACTTGACCATGCAAGTCTGTTTCTACTGAGCTGAGACTGTTGGAGCCTATATTTAGACATAACTGCTGGAAAATGCGTGAATTTTCGTCTGCAGACACACAAAAGTCTTACATGCAAACAACAACAATAAAGAGTTGCTATAGGCTTGTTGACACCTGACATCAGATGCCCAAGCTCCCGCTTCTGCAGCAGCTGGCCATAGGGCAAAAAGACAGGACACCCCTGTTAACCACCGTTGTAATTAGCTGTTAGTAAATTACACAAAAGAGTGGCAAAATAGTAGCCTGGCAAGCCATCCTATATGTGAGTATATAGTCTGGGCACGATCCAGTCGTGGGGCGAGATCTACGGTTGTCTTTCAAACTGTCTCTGCATGCTATTGGACAACAAACAACGTGACGTACTAATAGCTACTGTAGTCCGTCAACAGGAAGTCTGCCATTACATAGTGAAAGAAGATGAAAATAGTCCACTAATTAGTCCAAATTTGATGCCAAAGCTCTAGGTGATTTAACACACAGAAGGCAGTTATTGACAGCCATGAAGAAAGTTCGATTTGGATCAGTCCAAATCGTGGGAGCCCAAGTCTCGTGACAGAGTTAAAAAGTCAGCCCTACATGTGCTGACACAAAAACACATTTAGCCATCTATTCACCTGTATGCCTTTGTAACCGGATTAAATTTGTTTATCTTTATATAACTACAGAGAATGTGTTATGTAAATGGAGCTGGCAGCCTTTAAAGCTGCTATGGCAAATCTAAAAAACAAGCTAGCTTTTAAACACAAACGCGGCCACGGAACTCTCCTCCCTCCCATCGGCTATTACCCCTAAGCCACACCCCCGGATATGGGAACCCGCATTGACACAAGAAAAGTGAGAGCACAAAACACCAGTCACAGGTTACTAGGTCCAAACATCTTGATTTCTGTGACTCCAAATGGTGTTCAACAATTTTCCAGGGATGGCAATTGCCCCCCTGGCCACCCCTTAGGGGCGTCACTGTATCTAGATTCCTGCAAATACTCTTTAGCATTCATGAGACAAAATGAGAAGAAACATTTTGCAACCTTTTGGAAAATCTCGTCACAGCAAAGAGAGACTTGGGCTTTAAACATTTTCTAATTGCAATCTAGTCAATCATCCGTTTCAGCTAATTTTATTCTTTTGCATTTTATCCATGCACTTGATCACATTCGTCATTCCCTCAATTGCAACCAGTCTTCCTGTCCCTGCAGCTGAAAAACACCCCCACAGCATGATGCTGCCACCGCCATGCTTCACTGTGGGCACTGTATTGAACAAGAGATGAGCATTGCTTGGTTTTCTCCACACACACTACTTAGAATTAAGGCCAAGAATATTTAGGACCATGTAATATTTCAGTTTGTCTTTAATAACTGCAGAAATTTCTAAAATTCTGTGTTTTTCTGACACTGTGGGGTTCTGTGTGTACATTAATGAGGAAATAATGAGTGAAAATTTGACGGGGGTCTGAAAAGTTTCTGAACCCACTGTACATCTATTGTAAATATTTTGAATACAGGCTGTGCAGTGGCGCAGTGGTTCGAGCTGTTGCCTTGCAGCGAGAGGGTCCTGGGTTCAATTCCCGGCCTGTGATCTTTCTGCATGGAGTTTGCATGTTCTCCCTGTGCATGTGTGGGTTCTCTCCGGGTACTCCGGCTTCCTCCCACCGTCCAAAAACATGACTGTTAGGTTAATTGGTCTCCGTGTTGCCCTGCGATGGACTGGCTCTCTGTCCAGGGTGTACCCCGCCTACCTGCCCGTTGACTGCCCCCCCCCCCCACCCCCCCACCCGCGCAACCTTGCGTGGACAAAGCGGGTTCAGAAGATGGATGGATGAGATTTTGAATACATTCAGAATAAAGCTTTAATCTTGTGTGTGTGTGTGTGTGTGTGTGTGTGTGTGCGTGTGTGTGTGTGTGTGTGTGTGTGTGTGTGTGTGCGTGTGTGCGTGTGTGTGTGTGTGTTATGACTAAGTGTATTTTATTTGTTTCTATCATGTTATTTTGCACTTTTTTTCCACAATGATGCATAGAAGGGTAAGACGAACTCAAACATTTGAGTCATCAAACTTTTCAAGCAAACAAAAAGTAGCAGCAGAAAATCTGCTCACATAAATTTGTCACGCTTCAGAAAATTGTTGCTTTCCTTTGAATTTTACAAAAAAAGAACTGCTGTTCAGCCAAACATTTGACACATCTTATTCGTCTGGTTTCTTGATTTTCTCAGGGTGATGGCATCAAACTGGAGGACTTCACTCTTGACGTATACCGGAACTTCCTGGACAGTCTGTGTCCTCGTCCTGAGCTTAGCAGCATCTTCAAACTGCAGTAAGAAACTCCTAAAGCAAAAAGTAGAAATCTGAGCTGTTTACAAGTCTCTGTTTGCTTTAGGCAAATGACTTTGATATCAAAGCTATGAATAAGGATTCATCTGTTGCTTGCTCCTGATCAAAGAAGCTATTTCAATCAAGTTTATAACCCCGGTCAGTTTCCAAGTAATTATTGTTGGTGTTTTACTTTTTAAATCCTAATTAATGGGTCTGACTGTTTTGCCTAAATAACTGTTAAACTGGTCACTATTTGTAAACTTTGTCTCATTGTTTCGTAAAAAAAATCTATTTTAATCAAGAAATACTGTCAGGTTCCATATTTTTGTCATTTTTTCTGAGCTGTCCTATTTCACCTCTACAGGGGAGGCGACGGCGGGACAATGTCAGTGGATCAAATGACAGAGTTCATCAATAACAAGCAGAGAGACCCAAGACTTAATGAAATCCTCTACCCTCCCCTTCGCCCTGCGCAGACGCTCAGCGTGATGGAGAGGTACCAGCAGGACCCATCACAACTGAAGCAAGGTGCTCACAAACACACACACACATTAGTGCTGTCACACACACACTTAATACTGATAAAACGATCATATTACCAATTATAGATTATTTAATGTAATTTTAATGCCACTGTCATTTTCTGTTTTACTTTAAAGGAGTTCAACAACTTTTCTTTCCATAGTAAATAGTTGTTTGAGCCTCTTCAAACAGGTAAAACTCGAAAACTATGGTGCAAAAGTTCACTTTTTACAGTACTTCTTAGACAGAGAGACCATCTAAAGGCTCAGAAACTCTGCAGGTGTACTGGATTCATTAGCTGATTAGAGTGTGACACTTTGAGTTTTGAAAACTGAACCTTTTCCCATTAATATAATTGTGAGATTTTTAATGTGGGGTTTTCATAAACTGTAAGCTATAATCATCATAATTATAACAAATGAAGGCTTAAAATATCTGGCTTTGCTTCTAATCAGTCCATTTCATATGTTAGTTTCACCTTTTAGTATAACTGACTTTTGCATCATATTCTAATTTTTTGAGTTTCACATGTAGATTATGAAACTTTGTTGAGGCACAAAATGGACCAGGAGCTCTGATAAATGATCAAATGCAACCCTATCATAAAGTCTTAAAATAAAAGACTGGTTGTCCCCACTCACTCGGCCAGGGCATGAATATTAAATGAGCTGTGTGCTTATTGGTCGGTTTACGCAGATAGTTCTATAACTGTCTGAAGCTAGTAAGTGTGTATACACACATACAATATCCAGATAATGCAATAGGTAAGCTATGGGTCAATCTGGCATTTACTCAAAGCTTGGATTTTCACAGTACATCCTGTAAGGTGAATGTTTCGACATTTTTTTTTTTTTTTCCTCTCACAATACACAAGAACCTGACCAGTAAGTTGGGCTGGCTTTTTTCTGTGCTTAGCATTAACACCACCAACATTTATATTGCCAACATTAAAGAGGGGTTGAGACATGCTAATTTAACTGATTCACTGCCAGCCGTTTCCTGATCAGTAAATCCCCTGGCTGCCAGCGTTTTTGAGAATTTCTACGGTTTTTGAAGTGTCACAGAACATGCTCTATGATGATGTAAACACCAAAACTACCAAATGAAAGAGTAGACTCACTTCTTACACCAGAAAGAATCAGCTAGTTTCTAGCAATACATGTTCTTTCATAATCCGTTGTCGAATTGTGAGCTTCAGAAGCTTTTCCGGTTCACGCCTCACTTTTTTCACAGCAGCGGCCCAAAACGATCTCCTAATACATGGATTTTCTGCTTCCTGATCACGTGACGTTTGACCATCGACATATATACTGGACAATTTATGTCCATAGGCTCGAATTACAAGATTTTGTTCCCAAATGGGAGGTTCCCACCACCGCCATTTTGACTGTGTCACAGGTCCCGTCATGCCCAGACAATCCAAATATGGGAAAAGAGGTGGAGCTAAGGGTGGGGCTGTTACATTTGGAACAGGGTTTGAATAAATTCACCAGTGTAGCTACTAGCTAACTTAGCTAACCCAAGAAACTAAGAAGGGCTCCTTGGACCGGGGTGTCCCGCCCGCATGGCAGACTGGCTCCCGTGTGAGGCTGTAGTCATGCTGGTTGCCTGTGGAGATCTAATATGGACTGGGACTGTTAAATTACAAGCAGAGCCTCAGACCGGTGCAATCATAGCCAGGCTCCGTAGCCTATTACATTAGCTCTTGCTCTACGGTCGGAGAGAAGCAGGACATTAGCTACATGCTAACCCAAAGCTAATGGAGTTTTCCGGCCGTTTTCGGCAAGAAACGCAGTAGAGCAACTCCAAAGTGAAGGCACCTCCAGCCTGCTTAGTAACGAAATCATAACTAGGTAAGCTGACCAAGGATATTGAGGTTTGTTGGTCCACCGCAGTGAAACATTTGTGTGTCCACCACTGTAGATTGTCCCTTCTCCGGAAGCCGGCGGTCATCGGGACATTAGCTACATACTAACCTGAAGCTAACAGAGTTTTTGCGGGTGTTTTCAGTGAGAAAAATGAGGTTGAGCGACTCAAAAGTAAAGCAGCTGCAGTGTTTCTGTGGTCTCCCGCAGAGGTCCACCATTGACCGCATGATGACAACCTCGCCTTGGAGCCGGCCCAGCTGCCCCGGGAAATGGGAGCAGCTAGCCACCTGCTATTCTCAAGCGGGAGACAGGAGAAGCTGAGTACCCGCTCAAGGTTCCAATGCAGCCCCAGTAACATGTTTGACCAAGCAGTTAAATGATACAGCATTTCCTCCCATTCAACCAGTAAAATAAAGTACAGACTTTAGTCATCAATGGCAGGAAATTAGTTAAGGGGTGTCTAAGCTTATTACATAATAAACCAGCTTTTCTCAGAACTAACTAGCTTACAAATCTAAACAAACCGTAGCAGTAGAAAAAAGACATTGCTCTGCATATTGTTCAAGCTACGCTGTATTGTAGGTTTGCCATTGGCCCAACCAATTTTAGGTCTGGCCAGTCACAGCTCTCTATTTGTACAGAGGCACATTGGACCGGCTTAGCATCAAAGCTGTGAATAAGAAAAACTACAACAATGGCGTGGACTCAGGAACGGTGCCGGTTTGAAACGGACTTGGTATCAAATTCATATGTTTAGACTTGAGCTTTTCTTTTAGACATGATCAGGCTGAAGTTCTTTATTTATAAAAAGGCATATTTGCTCCTTCTTCTTTAACGGCGTATGGCAGCCCCCTCGCCTACTGTTTTCTGTAGCTATGACTGAGTCACTTTGCTCATTGCTCCTAGCATTGTCCAATAGCATGCAGAGACAGTTTGAAAGACAACCGTGGATTTCATCCCACAACTGAGCTTTGTCAATGGGTCATGGCTAGACTATATATTTACATATAGAGAATTACTGAGAACGAACATTACAACATTACTAATTCACATAGGTAAGGTGTCTGGTATGGAACATCTGACACCCCAAGATACATTTAGTCAACAACAAGGTAAACATGGTTTTAAATTCTAGAAGAGCTAGAAGAGCTTTAATAAATAATATCCAATTTTATACAATTAAATGACGCTATTTAGTTGTCGTTTTCAGTTCCCACCACTGGGGCTCACTGTGTCCTGCTGTCACGATGAGAGCAGGAGGTTAGGACCCAAAATGCAGAACACCAGATCACTCGAGGCAGGAGAAGTTGTTGAAAGTAAAATCCTTTATTTAGGATGATGGGTGAATATCCCACGGGGCAGGAAGCCAAAACCGAAAGTCGGGGAAAAACAACTAAACTACAAAATAAAGCTCATTCTTGAGCAAGACCCTGGAGTTCCTGGGGGGAACAGAACAATGCTGACAAAGACAATGGACCAACAAACACTGAGGGACAAGACAGGGTTTTTAAACAGAGGGAAGCAATCAGAGGAACAGGTGACAGGTGTGAGGAGTGAGGTCTAGAGGGGAGACAGGCACCATCAATAAACTAAATGGGGAAAGAAAAGCAGGGGGGAAAATAAACCATAACCTATAAAACACTAAATAACTAAACCTAAAGACTAAGGGCAAAGATAAACAACCAATGACTAGATGGATGAGGAGGACTAATACAAAACCAATAGGGAATACCAGGGAGTGACTAGGAGGAAACATGAGGAAAGTCTAGAGAGAGCTGGGGAACACAAGGAGACACATGAGGAGAACCTGGAGTGAGAACAGGAGGGGGCTGGGGACCAAAGAGGCACAGAACATGACACCTGCTCTTTAGATTTTAAGCCAATCAACAGTCAGTGAGCAGAATAGACTGGAGAAGAGTAATAATCATGTAGGATGTAATACTTTGTCTGTACAACATGCTGTAACGGGACAAAGGTTATTTGGTGAATGACCTGAGTTACTGGTTTTTAGTTTTATAGGTAAATACATCTGAATGTCTTATGCAAAGATATGGAACTGGAAATCTTATTTTCTAAGAATGTGCATCAAACAGAGATGTGATTTTTATTTGTCAGATGTTGATTATATGATTGTTGTATCCATGTTCTCTCCAGGCTTCATTTCTTTCCAGGCTTTTTCCAGTTATCTGTCCAGTGACGAGAATGGAGTCATTCCACCTGAGAAACTGGATCAGTCTGAAGACATGAACTTCCCTCTGTCCCACTACTTTATTAACTCTTCACATAACACGTACCTCACAGGTACGCAGACGCAACCCAAGATTATAAACCTATATATATATATATATATATATATATATATATGTGTGTGTGTGTGTGTGTGTGTGTGCATATGTATATGTGTGTGTATATATATATATATATATATATATATATATACATATATATATATATATATATATATATATATATATATATATATATATATATATATATATATATATATATATATATATATATATGTATATACACTGACTTATTTTATTGAGTATAAAAAAATTTACTGTAGGGCTTGGAGATTAAATGACTTGGTTGATAGCTGCTACAATCATTGTGCATTGTAATTAAGAGTATTCTAGTTTGCATTTCAGTGTCTAGCTCATCCAAATCTATTGAACACACTGACTTTATAATTCAGTGAAAAATGTAGCCAGGGAAGCTTGCAGCTCTGCTCAGTGAAACATTTTATTTTCACATAGCAACTCTGAGCTTGACTCAGAAAAACATTTTGATTACATCTGCAGCAGCAACAAAAGGACTCTAATGGGCTTTAATTTATTATTTGACCTCCAAGCACAGCAAGGCTCCAGTCCTTCAAGGAGTGGTGGCCTCATTTTTATCCATAAAACTGCCTGAATAAATAGCTTGACCAGCGTATTTTTCTGTTTAGCAACATATTTTTGTTCTAATAGCAAGTTGAACACCAGTTAAATTAAAATAAGCCATGATTCAATATGAACAGGGAATATAAATGTGATGTGATATATGAGCTTAAATAGATGAGGTGACATAGGATAGGAAAGGTGAAAAAAATAGGGTACAAGATGACTTGAGAAAAATGAGATTAGATTTTTAAAAAGGCATTATGGTGGAAATGAGAAAGAATAAGAAACAATAAGATACGATGAGACAAAGCAATACAAGACCAGAACAGAAAGGGTGGTGATGAAGGTCACACCAAAACCTGAGCAAGTGAGTTTTCAGCTGCTTTTAAACGAGACCACTGAGTCCACTGATCTCAGGCTCAGGGGGAGAGAGGTCCAGAGTCTGGGGGCCACAGCAGCAAATGATCTGTCACCTTTGGTCTTTAGCCTGGTGCGCTGCACAACCAGTAGGCTTTGATCACTGGACCTCAGGGACCTGCTGGGGGTGTAGGGACTAAGAAGATCACCAATGTAAGATGGTGCTTGTCCATGTAAGGCCCTATAGACCAGAACCAGGATCTTGAAATGAACCCTGAAGTTGACTGGCAGCCAGTGAAGCTGGAGGAGAAGCGGGGTGATGTGGGTGTGTTTGGAGGACTTGGTCAGAAGCCGAGCACGGGCATTCTGAACCACCTGTAGACGGTTCAGGGAGGTTCTGCTCAGACACGTGAAAAGAGAGTTACAGTAGTCTAAGCGTGAGGAGATGAAGGTGTGGAGAACTGTCTCAAGTCCAGAGCGGGACTGAATGGGACTCAGCTTAGCAATGTTCCTGAGATGGAAGAAGGAAGAGCGAACAAGAGAACTGACATGAGAATCCAGGGTGAGAGCTGGGTCAAAGGTCACACCAAGATTCCTGACGGAAGGTTTGGTGTGAGAAGCAAGCTGAACATGAGAGTCTCTGTGCCCAGACAAGCTGGTTCCCAAAGTCAGACACGAGACGAGACCTATCAAAACCGGAGATGGAAAGGTGAGATCAGAGAAATGAGAAGATTAGGATACAAGAAGAGTAAGGAAGAATCAATGAAAGATAATGTGAGATAAACAAGGTCGGGTGAGTTAGAAAAAACAAGTTCATGTTATAAAGATCAGGATACAATAGAATGAGAAAAAACCAATACAGGAAAGGATGAGAACAATTAAAAGAGTGATTGAATGACATATACTGTATTAGATATAGGCAAGGTAAGGCAGGTTTAGTTGTAAAGCACCTTACAATGGCATTAAACTGACCAAAGTGCTTCACAGAAATTGAAACATTAAAAAAACAATACACAACATAAAAATGCATAACAACTACAGCTTAAGAACTTACACTAAGAAGACTAAAAAGACTCTCATGCTGAGTTAAAAGCCAAATCATAAAAATAGTTTTTCAAAAGAGATTTAAAACCGGACAGTGAAGAGGCTGACCTAACGCTCAACGGCAGAACAATCCAGAGCCTAGGAGCCGCTACAGAGAAAGCCCTTTCACCTCTGAGCTTACGTCTTGTTTTTGGGACTTCCGAGAGTATCCTGTCAGCCAACCCCAGAGACCATGCCGGTGTCACAACCTGTCCTTTCTCAACATTCTGTTCAGTCCTGTGTCCATGTTAATTGCTCCCTGGCAGTGCATTCCCACCAGGCAGCATTGCGCCGCGGTTTCTCCGTCCAAGTTTTTTAAGGTCGGTTTATCCTCATTCCTCAGTGGTTTCTCCTCCTGTTCCCTCCATAAGTGGTTTTTTATAAACACCGTGGATCTAACCCTGCTAATTCACATGCACCAACTTCAGCTGTTTCTGTAGTTTCTGATTCCTCCACCTTACTCAGCATGGCTCTATTAAATACCCGCTCTGTTAACAATGAGTCCTTCCTGCTCAATGATTAAATTCTCTCTATAAACCTGGATTTTCTGTTTCTGACTGAAGTTTGGCAGCAAACTTCTGATTGTTCTGGTCTGATTGAACTCTGCCCGAGTGGTTATTCTTTTCTTAGCCAGCCTCGAGGTTCTGGTCGTGGTGGAGGTCTAGCTGTTGTTTTCAGAGACCATTTTCCATGTAGCTCTACAACCTCTGGTCACTTTGCTTCCTTAGAATTGCAGCTGATTAAAGTCAGGCGTAAGGACCCGTTCTACTGTGCTGTGGTTTATTGTCTACCGGGTCCAAACGGTTCTTTTCTTCAGGACTTTAGTGACTTTCTATCCTCCACTGTGAAGCTGTCCAGACTGGTGATTGTTGGTGACTTTAGCATCCACGTTGGTGATCCCTCTGACCACTTTGCTATGAATTTCTCCAGCCTTATGGACTCCTTCAGCTTTACCCAGCATGTTTCTGGCCCCACACACACCAGGGGACACACTCTGGACCTTGTTTTTACCCTGAGTCTAAATGCTGATAGTGTTTGTCCTGAGGATGTTTATATTTCAGATCACCATTGCATTTTCTTTAACTTGTCAGTTTCTGCGTTCCCCCCCCCCCCCCCCCTCCTGCTCGCCGTATGGTTAGTTCTTGTTTTCTTAATGAGAGCACAGCTACCAATTTTTCACCGTTCTTCTGATAACGACCCAGATTCCTTAACTTCTCAGTTTAACGAGCACTGCCTCTCCATTCTGGACAATATCTGTCCTGTCAGAACCAGATCAGTTCCTGCAGTGAACCCTACTCCCTGGTTTAATGACAGCATTCGCAGCCTGAAGCGCCAATGCAGAAAAATTGAGTGCTTGTGGAAGAAAACCCATCTCCACGTCCATCTGCTGCACCTAAAGGATCTTCTGTCATCCTTTAACTCTGCAGTCAGAGACGCTAGGGTTTCCTATTTTTTCAACCCGGTGTCCCAGAGCAAAGGGAACCCCAAGGTGCTGTTTAACACCATCAGCAGCATTGTCTCCCCTGCCTCTCCTACAGCCTCCATCCACTCGGTTGCAGACTGTGAGAACTTTCTGTCTTTCTTTGTGGACAAAGTCAATAAGGTTAGATCTAGCATCTCTCCTTCAGCCTTATCGCTGCCTCTCCCGACTCCAACCAGGCCCATCATCCTAGATAGCTTTGCTCCTGTTTCTTTGCCTGAGTTAACCAAACTGGTTAACTCTATGAAGACCTCTGCATGCCCCCTCGACATCTTACCCTCATCTTTGTTTAAAAGTGCTTTTCAGTCCATCGGTCCCTGCGTGCTCTCTATAATTAATGCTTCTCTGGTTTCTGATCAGGTCCCTGCTTACTTTAAGAACGCTGTAATCCACCCGCTTCTTAAAAAACCCTCTCTCCATAGCAGCTTGAGACCCATCTCTAAACTTCCGTTCATCTCCAAGATCTTGGAAAAGGTTTTGGCTAAACAACTCACAGCTGCTCTTGATGAACATAACATCTATGATAGCGTCCAGTCAGGTTTTCGTACAGCTCATTCTACTGAAACAGCTCTTCTTAGGGTCTCTAATGACCTTCTGACTCACAGTGATGCAGGGGACTGTTCTGGTCCTGCTGGACCTGACTGCAGCCTTTGACACTGTTGACCATCACCTGCTACTGGAGAGGCTGAGAGACTGGGTAGGCCTATCAGGATCTGCTCTGGAGTGGTTCTCCTCTTATCTTTCTGAGCGCTCCTTTTCTGTGGCCGTCTCCAAGTTTAGGTCCTCCACCACCTCTCTTACCCATGGTGTCCCACAAGGTTCTGTGCTGGGGCCTCTGCTCTTCCTCCTCTATCTGCTTCCTCTTCAGCACATCCTGAGCTCCTTCAAAGGAATCTCCTACCATCTTTATGCAGATGACATCCAACTGTACATCTCCTTTAAGCCCCATGAGATGTCTAAGCTGCAGCTGTTACACACCTGCTTAGACTCTATCAAAACCTGGATGGCTGGGAGCTTTCTTCAGCTGAATGAAGATAAGACTGAGATCCTCATCTGTGCCCCAGACAAGCTGGTTCCCAAAGTCAGAGACTCTCTTGGTCAGCTTGCTTCTCACACCAAACCTTCTCTCAGGAATCTTGGCGTGACCTTTGACCCAGCTCTCACCCTGGATTCTCATGTAAGTTATTTTGTTCGCTCTTCCTTATTCCATCTCAGGAACAGTGCTAAGCTGAGTCCCATTCTGTCCCGCTCTGAACTTGAGACAGTTCTCCACACCTTCATCTCCTCACGCTTAGACTACTGTAACTCTCTTTTCACGTGTCTGAGCAGAACCTCCCTGAACCGTCTACAGGTGGTTCAGAATGCCTGTGCTCGGCTTCAGACCAAGTCCTCCAAACACACCCACATCACCCCGCTTCTCCTCCAGCTTCACTGGCTGCCAGTCAACTTCAGGGTTCATTTCAAGATCCTGGTTCTGGTCTATAGGGCCTTACATGGACAAGCACCATCTTACATTGGTGATCTTCTTAGTCTCTACACCCCCAGCAGGTCCCTGAGGTCCAGTGATCAAAGCCTACTGGTTGTGCAGCACCAGGCTAAAGACCAAAGGTGACAGATCATTTGCTGCTGTGGCCCCCAGACTCTGGAACTCTCTCCCCCTGAGCCTGAGATCAGTGGACTCAGTGGTCTCCTTCAAAAAGCAGCTGAAGACTCACTTGTTCAAGCTGGCTTTTGTATGACCTTCTTCACCACTCTCTCTTTATTCTTCTCTCCCAACCTATTCCACCTTCCTCAGGATCCACTGATTTCCCTCTTTCCTATTCACTCTCTCTCTTTCTTTACATTTTTTAATCACAATTGTCTATTTTTTACTCATTTAAAATATATTTTAACCATTTTCTAAATTATTTTTTTTATATTTTTACATTTTTTGCTTTTGTGAAGCGCCTCGTGATTTTTATCTTGAGAGGCACCATGACATTTTCTTCTTCTTCTTCTTCTTCTTCTTCTTCTTCTTCTTCTTCTTCTTCTTCTTCTTCTTCTTCTTCTTCTTCCCACCTGCCTCTCTTCTCCCAATCACTCAAGGTCCCCGCTCCTCATGTATTCAAACCCTCCCAGTTCTGTGTTCCTTGTCTGTCCATTGTTTCAGTGTCAGCGTGTTCTTTATTAAACCTTCTTCAAACGTTGTCACCAGCCTGCCTGTCTCATTCACCTGCGTGTGGGTCCTCACTTCAGTCACTCTACTCACCTTCATGTGACAGCAGGCGAATAAAAAACCAGTAGCTTAGAGAGGTATATAGGATATAGCGCTTTCTAGAGTCATGGAACCCCTCACCATCACTCATTCATCCATTTACACACACATTCACACCCTGCTGATTATGAGCTTCATTGTAGCCACAGCTGCCTTAGAGCTCACTGACAGAGGTGAGTCTGACATACACAGCCGCCACCATTCCCTCCGAACACCACCAGCAGGCAAGGTGGGTTATGTGTTTTGCCCAAGGACACAACAACAGCGACAGCCTGAGCAGGGCTCGTACCTGCAACCTTCCAATTACAGGGCGAGCACTTCTCCTCTTTCGTATGAGACGACAGAGGAGAAAGGTGAGATAGATTAAGATAGAATAAAATGAGAAAAAACAAAGCAAGAAAACATGACAAGAGGGAAGAGAAAACTATGATGAGATGGAAGGCTTGCAGTGGGATGTGAAAGTTTGGGCAACCTTATTAATCTTCATGATTTTCCTTTATAAATCGCTGGTTGTTATGATGTGTTATTTTTCCTCCATGCATAACGCCCCTTGTTATGCCCAAATAACTCAACTGAAGTTTCATCAGTCCACAGCACCTTATTCTAAATTAAGCTGGCTTGTCCAAATGTGCTTTAGCAAACCTCAAGCTCTGTTTGTGCTGTGGTTGGAGAAAAGGCTTCCTCTGCATCTCTCTCACATGCAGCATCTCCTTGTGGAAAGTGCACTAAATAGTTGAACGACGCACAGCGACTCCATCTGCAGCAAGATGATGTTGTAGGTCTTTGGTGCTGCACTGTGGGTTGACTCTGACTGTTCTCACCATGCTTCACTTCTGTTTATCCCAGATTGTTCTTGGTCTGCCACTTCTTTAACTTGAACTGTGCCTGTGGTCTTCCACTTCCTCAATATGTTCCTAACTGTGGAAACAGATAGCTGAGATCTCTGAGACAGCTTTCTGTATCCTTCCCCTAAACCATGATTGTGAACAATCTTTGTTTTCAGGTCAAGTGAGAGTTGTTCTGAGACCACATGTTGCTGCTCTTCAGAGAATTTGCAAAGAGTAGGGAAACTTAAAACTGCCCCCCTTAACCCTTTGATGCATTAATTATTAAATCTTTAACCATGAGTTTTTAAACAATTTTTTTCATTCATCTTTAGGTGTGAATGAAACAAATTTCATATTTACATATTTTTTGTAACATTTAATTTACACATAGTTTATTACATGTCCACCTCAGTGGACAGCGTGCATTCTGATCATGAAATATGTTGGCTTGACTTACTGAAGTCCAAATGGAGGGGCTCAAATGCAATAAAGTCTTCAACAGCTGTGCTTAATAGCAAAAATAAATAAATAACAATTTTGAGTACCTGTCCACTGTAGTGACCATTATGCATCAAAGGGTTAAATACTCTTTCTTGTAATTGATGCACCTGTGTGTGGAGGTCAAAGGTCACTGAGCTTACCAAACCAATTTTGAGTTCCAATAATTTGTTCTAAAGGTTTTGGAATCAGTAAAATGACAACAGAGCCCACATACATGGAACCATGTTCAGTGCTTTGGGCTTCCTGACAGGGTTGCGGAAGGCGCTTTATAAATAAAGCTTTGATTGATTGATTGACCTGCCGAATTTTGTTAAAACAACTATTGCACACTTTCTGTAAATCCTATAAACTTATTTTCATTTCTCAAATATCACTGTGTGTGTCTCCTATATGAGATTTTTAACTGGAATTTTGTATAGTAACAACCAACGATTTATAAAGGAAAATCATGGAGATTAACGAGGCTGCCCAAATGTTCGCATCCCACTGCATGAGAGATGCAGTGGCATGAGAAGACGAAAGACAAGATCAGAAACAAAAGATTGAAAAAAGATGAGCTAAACTAGGAAGCTAGATAAGACAAGAAAGAATGAAATGAGATCAATAAAATGAGCTGTTTGGATTATCCAACTCAAATGATCAAACGAATATCTACTTAGGAATCCCTAAAGAATATTTTTGTTTCATTTTAGTTTCCTCTTCATGTGTTTCAGCTGGCCAGCTGGCAGGCAGCTCCTCGGTGGAGATGTACAGGCAGGTTTTGCTGGCGGGGTGTCGTTGTGTGGAATTAGACGTGTGGAAAGGACGAACCGCTGAGGAGGAACCGGTCATAACCCACGGATTCACCATGACGTCAGAAATCTCTTTTAAGGTGTGCCCAGCTTTTTCCAGTGATTCAACTCAGTCGTTAGCGCGGGCTTTTGGTGGTGATCTGCTTTCATAAAATACAAAAAAGGATGTCATGTTTTCTTCTTGGAAACTATTAGTTCACACGTTTAAATGATGTTTTACTGTAAAAATATGATTTCACAGCTGAAAGTATTTGTTCCTCTGGTTATTTACAAAGATATAAACAGACAAAACAAAAAGGAAAATAATTTTCAGGGGAAAACAATCCTCAACACCTGGAAATCACTTTGTGCTTACTCACTGAGCAACGAGCATTTTTGTTTTATTTTCTAGGAGGTGATTGAAGCCATTGCAGAATGCGCCTTTAAGACTTCCCCTTTCCCTGTCATCCTCTCGTTTGAAAACCACGTAGACTCGTGAGACCTTTTAAACTTACGTTTACATTTTTTTATCAATACATGCAATCGGATTATTCATGAATTTGTCTTTCAGTTTGAAGCAGCAAGCTAAAATGGCTGAATACTGTCGAACTATATTTGGAGACGCACTTCTAATTGATCCTCTGGACAAATATCCTGTAAGAAGCAGAAACCCGCTGGATCGTTCCTCTGCGCGATGAAGATGACCTGAAGTTAATGCTGTGATTGTGTGTTTGCAGCTGGAGGCTGGCGTCCCCCTGCCCAGTCCTCAGGAGCTGATGGGCAAAATTCTCATCAAGAACAAGAAATCTCACAAACCCTCCAACAACACAGACACCAAGAGACTAATTGACCAACCTGCCAATCAGAGCAACGAACCGGCGTCTCCTAGCAACAACACGGGAGGTATGACACAAAGACAAAGAAATGTGTTCAGCTGCAACAATCAAAAGACAAAATGGACATTCATTTATTTTGCTGTTTGTCAGACAGCTGCAGGAAGCTGGAAAATGTCAAGTCAAGGAGCAGTGAGGGTTTAAATCAAACTGTTTTATTCTTTTTTTTTTTTACATTCTTAAAATGTTTTTCATTCAGCAAACGTGTGTCCTCCTCACAAACATGAGTCACTGCTCATTTAAAGGAGGTAAATACAGTGGCTTGTCCCTCAACTTGATACCTGAGCTTGAATGAAATTAGAAGATTTTCTTTAAAAAAACGAAGCTGAAGATAAACTTGCACAGTTCAGGTCAACTTTATGTTAACGTAAGCCAAAGTGACACTTCGATGTCTCCACAATTATTCTGCATCTCATCAGGGATGCTTCAGTAATGAGCTGGACATCCCAAATGACATCAAAAGCTCTAAATACCAATTACACTGAAGCGTGCTGGGAAATTAAGCAGTCATATTGACATGTTTGGCGTGCAGATCCTGAGAACAGGTCTGGGACTGGAGATTCCAGACCTGTTAGGAGATCAGACTCTGTACTTAGATGTGACTTTAGGGCATTAATGTAGAGGCTTGTTTACAGATCTGAAGGGTTTTTTCTACATGTTACTGAGCCAACATTCATGAACTTTCAGTAACCACTATGCCTCTCCTTTCACGGCGTTTAACTCAGAACTTTATGCTTCCACTCGTTGAATGTTCTTGTCTAACCTGGAGGAGGCCACGGCATTGTCAGTTTGTAGAATCTGGGTAAATAAGACACTGTCTATAACTTTTCCTGCAGGTGGGAGAAAAGTTCAATCAAATATTTTTACACCTTTGTATGAGAAACGTATCATTTTGATTTTCCTAATATGAATAGCATCCTTGCTAACTGTGTTGAAAGTATAATAAGGTAACGGCTAAAATAAAATAATAAATAAATGTAGCTGGTAAAATAGCCGACTGCTAATCATCTGGTTCCTCAAAAAAGCATTGAATTTTGGTATCTTAGGTGTGTTCTTGCTGTGTCGTGGTTCTAATTCCACGCTTTCGTTCTTTTTAAACACAGAAACAGTTTTGTTTACCTGTTTTGTAGCTACAGTTTCGCCGACGGCTGCCGGCTTCTGTAACTACAAAACAGGTAAACAAAACTGTTTCTGTGTTTAAAAAGAACGAAAGCATGGAATTGAGTTTTGGTGTTAACCCTCCCACTGTCTTATTGGGTGTGACCCCGCAAGGAAAGTTGACCATTGAGCAGGGTTGATGGTTTATCCCTTGAGGTCCACGTGGCAGGGGTGAGGAGTGAGCACCACCTCACCCCTGCCACGTGGACCTCAAGGGATAAACCATCAATCCTGCTCAGTGATCAACTTTCCTTGCGGGGTCACCCAAAAAGGGTTAACACACTGTACAACTCAAAGTTAAAAATTATTAAAAGCTAGCGAAGGAGTATGTCTCCTGGTTTTAATTAAGTGTTAAAATACCAGATTAAGTGTTCAGTTGAGCTCAATTGAATGAAAATTCCTCATGATCTGAACTCTGAACAGCATCCACAAGTACATTTACAATGTCTTAAACCAATTGTAAACATTATTTATTGACTGGTGTTTTCACCCAAAATAATTTGAGTGCCCTCTTGAACACACCTCAATTTGGTGAGTCAAAAAAATAAGAAAGATGTAAGACTGCTTTCAGAGGGGTTGGTGAACAAGTCATGGAGAAACCTTGTCATAATTAAAGTGCAAGTCATCCCTGACCAGAGTTTAAAGCCTAGTTAATGCTTCTGCGTCAGCTCCACAAGGGAGAGACGCCAGAGGTGTGGACTCGAGTCACATGACTTTGACTCGAGTCAGACTCGAGTCATTATTTTAATAACTTCTGACTTGACTTGATGAAATCTATAAAGACTTACAATTTGACTCGGAGTTGAACGCCAATGACTTGCAAATTGAATCGACTTGCATCTGTTGACTTGATGATGACTTGAGCATATTTGATATTTTAGCACAAAAATGGCCCGACATGGACAAAAATCATGAATCATTCTTGGTTCTGGGTTTGATCTTGTTCTGCTAAACGCAGCAGCACTTTGTTTATAATCAGTTTCAGTTGCACTTCCTGCTTGTTTGAGCAAATCAATGAAGCTTTAAGAAGCTTTATTTCTGGAATTTATTTATTGTCATTGTCATTAAATTGAATTTTGACAGATGACTTGATTATGACGAAAATTCAAATTAAGGACTTGGACTTGACTTGGACTTCCACATCCTTGACTTTGGACTTGACTTGAATTTGTTTGTCTTTGACTTGGACTTGACTTGAGACTTGACTAGAAAGACTTGTGACTTACTTGTGACTTGCAAAGCAGTGACATGGTCACACCTCTGAGAGATGCACATGGACTGACAGAGGCCTTTTGCCTTTGGACTTCTCCGTCTCCTGGGGAGGTTTGAAAAGCAATTTCCCAACAGGACAACAAAGGGTGTATTGCTTTTCTGGGGTATCCTCTAATGTGTCCGGTCCAAGATAGAGCATTTACTATTGTGTATATATTGTGTTTTTGTATTTTAGAGAATTTTTAACATGGACGAATTTGTCCCTCCTTCTGGTCCACCTCTTCACGCGATCGCCACCTCTAAACCCGTGTTTCCCATCATTTCTGTCTGCGAATAAAACGCTTCCTGTGCATCTTTACTCCTCCTGTTAAGGGTGAATTATCGTTCATATTTTCAGAGTTGTTTCACAAGGTATTTTTCAAGCGGATCTGTGTCTGCTACTAGATATCTTCAGTTCTCTTTTATTTTTAGGACGTAATGGCGGGGCTGTTGACACATTTAAAGGAAGCTGCATCTTGGCCAATCACAAGCTTGTATACTGCGTTTGACTCGATGTCCGTCCTTGAGTGCCTTTTAGAGAGCCCTCACAATGGCAGATAGTTGTGTTGCATGTCTCCACACTGATGGAGACAGAGAAGCATAAATTAGGCTTTACTCCACCCAAACTTCCTGTTTAGGTTAGGGTTAGAGAAACGCTCCAAAAAAGACTCCAAAAGGAGGCGTCGCCTGGTGAACCAAGAGAAGTTGTGACCATTAGACGGCCATTTGTTTATTGATCCAAAACTTTGATTTGGGGGTAACTAGCTCTTTAAGATGAAGATAAATATTTTTATTTAAAATAGCAAGCAGATTTTGAACTTGATGCAAAAGTCTTATACGCCCCTATTTAGTGTGTAAATGTATGCAGTTTCTCTCAAATTTGTGTTTCTAACTAGTCATCAGCACAGAAAGCGATACGGTCTTTAAATTGTCAACAATGTGTGAGGAAAGTGAGACAGGGTTGGTTACCTAGGAAACTACCTTGTGACTAATTGGAGACCAAAAAGAAAAAAATCCAGGAGCAACATAACTGGAAATAAAATATGGATCATTTGCAAAGAAAATGTAAAATTAAGGAGCTTTGTGATGATATTGGAATTGTTACACAAGATTAAAATATCATAATTAATTTACATCTTTGACATGTGCAAATACTAATAAATATTTTAAGCCTACACCTGTACTAATTCCAGATCACTTCTGAATTTTGACCAAGGAGAGGAGACGCCGCAAAATGCATTTTAAATAAAAATCCATTTAAAATACAGAGTCATTCATTTCCATCATCACAGTCAGATGATTGTTTATTTATATAAATGTACAGACATCCAGATGATGGGGATGTATTTAATTTTAACAGAGATGGAGGCTGAGAGTGAGGAAGATGATGATGATGAAGATGATGATGGTAAAAAGGTCAGTGGTGATATTATCCGAAGCTGACAGAGAGTCACCCTCGCTGATGTCGGTCTTCGTTATCGTTCACACGTGTTGTGTGCCTTCACAGCTTTGCTGGTTTATCCTGCGTGCCGTTGTCACTGTCTGTCTCGTTGTAACATTTGTTGTTTTTGGCTGTGAACTGTACTTCATGTTTGATTTTTTATTTAGTTGTTTTTTATTCATCATTCTCCTGCTATTTCATGTATTTCTTTAGCTATGTTTTATTTGTTGTGATCCTTCCTTTTTCGCATCAAAGTTGAAATTCCAATCCAGAAGCTCTTGAATTCCCGAGCATGCATTTGTCACGATACCGCTCCACCACAGATTTATTTTGTAGGTTTTATTTGATGTTTTCAGCTGTGATGTTACTCCAGTTTGAGATGAAACTCGAGCTCCAGAGGTCTGTTGTGCTGTAGTACTTTGAGGTTTCCAACCTGAAGACATAAACAATTCAAGCTTTCAGAGAAATCACCAAAGGACATTGAGTAGACTTCATGTATCTGTCTCGAGATATAAAATATTTCATATAATAGTGTTTAAAATATGTATATAAATAAATCCTCTAGGATGTAACATAGATGTTCTTCTTCACTTCAGCTGAGTATGGATCTAGAGTAATTACCTATTACAAATCATTTAAATAGAATAGAATAGCCATTGTAATCCCATAGTGGGGAAATTCACTCATGCATGCAGTACATACACTTAGCAAATAGAGAAAAAATTATACTGTTGCATTATGTAAGAATTTTCCAGTAAAATAATCACAAACCAATCTGATGTCTCATTCATGTTGAAAGGAAGGTTACACTGAAACAAATTTCATTCTCAGCCAAATGGAGAGTTTTCTTTTTCTAAAAAGGTAGACGAGGGATGTAGGTTCAGTCAGAGCTGTAAAGAGAGTTGCGACACTCCAATAGAGCTCCGGGAGTTGACGTCACTTCTCCCGGCATGCAACAGTTCAAATCGAAACGGCGCCATCTTGGCAGGTAGAAGCCGGCAGCTGGACTATTTGTTACTGTCAGAAAACGCAATCAGACAGGAAATATGGTAGATTCCTGTTGTGCCCCAGGATGCAGAACAGACACGGACGACATAAGGAATGAGCCATCTACAGGATTCCCCAAGATCCGGAGTGCCGCAAACGTTGGATCATTGTAGAAAAACGCGCTAGTGACCGGGCTAAAATGAAACTGTGGGATCCCGAGAGTAAAGGTTTTCGCTTATGCAGCGACCACTTCATATCAGGTACTTAAACCAACGTTTCCTCAACTGTGTGTGGTATTTATTTGAAATGCTTTTATTACGATTCTTAGTGGGCTTCCTAAACTAATTTTGGCGTGGCTTTTTCTGTCTTATTACTCATAGCAACAAGTAAACATCACGTAAAACGTTGCCTCGTGAGTTCTGCGTGCTGCCGTTTAGGTGTTTTATGATCACAGCAATTAACCGGCTAAGCTGTATTTAATTTTTAAGCAATGGTTGATCAATTGTCAGATCACACATAAAAAGCACTTTGGATTGCTATTATCTGTCTCACCGAGACAGATCTCAGACAGATCCTGAGACGCTCCTGCCTGACATATTTATTTTATTCACGGAAAAAACAATCAAACTAGTGATTTCTCTTGGCGTTCAGTTTATACATTTAAACAGCACAGCACTCTATTTAAACTACTTTCATGTAAATCTGTTATTTGTCCATTCATCCATCCATTTTCATCCGCGTATCCGGAGTCGGGTTGCGGGGGCAGTAGCGTTGAGAGGCCCAGACTTCCCTCTCTCCAGGGGTTCCCCGGCCAGGTCCGGTAAGAAGTCCGCTCCGACAGCTTCTGGCGTTTTTACAAAGCATCCCAGGGGCACGGTAAGGGTCGGAGATGTTTAGTCTATTTAATTTCTGACTATATAAAACAATTTCTTCAGTTTTAAAGAGTGAAGTGTTTGTTTAGATTCTTTTACCTGCCAATATGGCGTCTACTAACTGAGAGTCACGTGGGGTCTGGAGCTCTATTGACTTCTATGGAAAGAATGGAATGCAGAAGTCACGTGGTTCACGTAGCTTCGAATAGTTCCAAACAGCCCCGCTGCTGCATTGACTGCAGTTCATTTTCGGCGTTTCGGAAGCATTTTCTCCGGTAAGTTGATGACATCTCATCATTTTGTTGCATTGTGAAGCGTTAGCTAAGTTAACCGCTTCGTACCAAAATAAGCCAACAATGATATTTTATGTTGCCAGTTTTAGCTAGATAACATTTAATGAGCTAACTGTGTGCAGCTTGTTGATTGTGAGAAGGGGGACGAGCTGTAGACGGGTTTCTTTCAGCTTGTTTGATTCTACGTTTTAAAAATATTCCCCACAGTTTGACATAGTTTATAAACTTTTTACATTATTAGTTTTATTTGGGATTTTTGTACAACATGTTGCTGGTTGCTGTATCAACACGAACATGCATGAGAAATGGAAGCACAAATGGAGACCAATAATAAAGAAAATGTGATTGTGAAGACAAGTAATTATTTAATATTTTTCAGGTAATAACACTGACTGCAACGAACTGCTGAAGCATGAGACAAACAGCATTATGAACGTAAGAAGATATGTTGTTCTGTTTTGTGGACTCAAGTAATAAGAATAGAATTACAATATTTCAAGAACAGTTGTCAAACAATTACTTTTAAAAATGAGACATTTTCCATAAAACTGCTCATTTCCACTTGCTTTATAATATTAGCATTTGCAATTTTGTTATTAAGGAATGACAAGAAATAAGAATTAACAATAACATAACTATCAATAAATAAATGTCAAAGAGTTACTAAAACAAAAATCTTATGTAACCATTAAAGGTTAAACTGTGTTGTGTGTCCATCTTCATGTTTTCATAGTGGCTGAGCGGAGAGCTGACCAGGAACAACGGTGGTGGCAAAACCCAGTTGGGTCTGTGATGGAGTGATGCACGCCTGAAGTGATTGCCATCTCATCCACAGTAAGCACACACTCTCTTTCCATCTCTGTCAGATTTTTAACCTTCAAACTGAGCATGTCACACACCTCTCCTAACACACCTGGTTCCAGTTAATGGGCTGCATTTGTCTGTGCAGGGTTCCAACATCAGGCAGAGGGATACTCGTGTCCTGAAGAAACCTGTAGCCTGTTGAACCCACTGAAAAACAGAGTTGTACAGCCTATTTGATTGTCTGTTTACTCCATTTAATGCCTCTTGTGTTTGTCATGACAATTGCCTTCAATTGATCTTTAGTAAAAAATTGGCCTATTTTTTTTCCATGTTGAAAACTTTCTTTCACCGGACTGAATTAATTTTTGTCTGTGTTTTACGTGCCCCTTCCAAGCTCCTAATGTGTTCTTTTTGACTTTCTGTTTCCTCCCTTAGGTTTTCCAGCTGGGTTCCCTGGTTGCATAGCCTTTTCCTTTCTCCTCCTGGCCCTGACGCCGGCTCCTCATGGCTTCCTGGGATGTCCCTCTCTCCTGATACCATCTCATGTCTCTCCTCACTTTCCCTCACCTCATTTGCCGCACTGCTGCTGCTTTCCTCATTCTCTGTAATTATAATGACACTGTTAGAATAGAAATTTTTAAAAACAAAATAAAGACAAATGAAAGATTCGTATTACAGTTAACTTGAGTACAATATGTGTGGTTGCTGGTCAGTGGATCAACATGCAGTGGTTCTGCTGTGCTTCACTGCAGGATCCGTCCTCCTCCTTGGTTCAGGGCGATGAACAAACACAGCATCAGCCCTGAGTCTCACCTTGCCTTGTCTAAGCTTAGTAAACTGTCCCTCCTCAAAATATGCCTATAGAGTGGTGTATTAGTTTATTTCCTGCCACATTTAACAGTTTAATTGCAGCCTTGTGCAGTTGAGAGCAAAACATGCAGAGCCTTGATAGAAAACATTGGAGAGTGCACATTAAACTCACTGCACACAGCTTTTTGTTATTGTGATCTCTGGTCATGGTGAGGTTGCTCCTGCTGACTTAAGCTAACCATTTTGTCTCTGCATCTTTGGGTAAGCCATAATTCTGATTCCTCCCTCAGACCTGCTACATCCATATGCAGTGCAGCCAACCATGTAAGATAATCAACCGATAAATGTATTATTAAAATATAGAAATATTGAACAAAGCCAAAAATATAGAGATGTAAAATTACATTTTAAAATTTTATCCAACCATAAAATTTGTAATTTCAAATTTTAACCCTCAGACAAATTTTATGTTAATAATTATCTAAATAAAGTTATTCACAAGAGTTTCATTAGGTCTTGAGTACACTGCTCATAATTAATGATTCAGCTTATTTGCACATATGTAATGACCAAACGTAATGTGGTTTGTAGAAAATGTTTGTGTTGCCTAGCAACAGCCTTGTCTGAGTCTCCATTTCGTGTTGGGACTATTTGTGTTGGCGGAGCCTGATAAATGATTAAATAAATGAACAAATCATAATATGTTGTTGCTTATTGTTGTTATAAAAATAAAATGAGCAGGTAGAACTGTTGTATGAAAGCAATATCACACTCGATGTCATGCGTTGTTGCTGAATATCAGCACTGGTTGTGATTATCTACGGCACGAGGCCGTAGGCCGAGTGCCTACGACCGAGTCACACCAGTGCTGATATTCAGCAACAACGCACTCCCTCTCGTGTGATATTGCTTAATTAGATCGAAAATGTCCTGTATTTGATGTAGCACTTTCTAGGGTTCTTCAACCCCCCAAGGCACTTTACAACACAATCAGTCATTCACCCACACACACACACAATCATACTGTGGTGGTGATGAGCTACATCATCGCCACAGCTGCCCTGGAGCACAGTGGCAGAGGCGAGGCTGTCGAACACTGGTGCCACCGATCCCTCCGACCACCACCAGCATGCGAGGAGTGTTAAGTGTCTTGCCCAAGAACACGACTGCGACAGATGGGGCTTTAACCTACAACCCTCTGGTTTCAGGGCGGGCCTCTGCTTCTGTCTCTTAGATGTTGAAATGTGACTCCTTCTACACAAACATTTAGCTCAGTGTCTGTTTCAAAAACGTTCTTTAGATGTGGCAGCCATCTTGAATTGGATTGATTTTCAACATGAACCAGTAGACCACATAAAACTCAGACAAAAACAGTTTTGCCCACCTTCCACCTTTTGATGGTTCGTTATCCACAGAGGAATGATGCAGTTTGAGTTGTGTCCATGTGTTTGTTTTCTGAAGTCTACCAAGTTGTCTTCCAGTTCAACTGTGTTCATGCTGTTTTTGAGTCAGGAACAAAACATAAATTTCTTCCCCATGTGTTGTTTTATATGTGAGTTTCTGTCAGCTCAGAGCATGTTTTTATGTTTGTAAAGATGTGTTTTTGAAAGACCTTTAGCTGGTATGTAAAGCACAGTTTCTGTTTATTTAAGGGCTCTGCAGAGCGGGAGGCAGTGGCTACAGAGGAAATGTCAACTCTGGTAAACTACGTCCAGCCAACCAAGTTCAACTCCTTCGAAGCGTCAAAAAGTAAGACCAGAACTTCAGGAATCTGCTGCCTTGCTGTGGTCCTCACTGATGCTGTTTGAGATCTCCATCTTTGTACACTGCCCAGCCAAAAAAACATTGCCACTAAAGAAAAGTCACACAATCTAATATTTTGTTGGACAGCCTTTAGCTTAGATTACAGCACACACTTCTGTAGTGTCACAAGACTTCTTTTCATCCTGTAGTGCATTAATGTTTCACAAAGATCTTGCATTGATGATGGTAGGGTCTGATCGCTGCACAAAGCCTTCTCCAGCACATCCCAAATATTCTCATTGGGGTTAAGGTCTGGACTTTGCGGTGGCCAATCCATGTGTGAAAATGATGACTCATGCTCCCTGAACCACTCTTTCACTATCTGAGCCCGATGAATTCTGGCATTCTCATCTTGGAACATACCCGTGCCATCAGGGAAGATGGAATAACCTGGTCATTCAATATATTCTGGTAGTCAGCTGACCTCATTCTTGAAGCACATCCTGTTGCTGAACCTAGACCTGACCAACTACAGCAACCCCAGATCATAGCACTGCCCCCACAGGCATTTGGCACTAGGCATGATGGGTGCATCATGTCATCTGCCTCTCTTCTTACCCTGATGCACCATCACTCTGGAACAGGGTCCATCTGGACTCATCAGACCAGTTTTTAATAATGCGTTGGACAGTTCTTAACCCAAGTTTAGTCGTTTCTGCATCTCCTTAGATGTTTTCTCTGCTTGACCCTTCTCTAACAGACTAACATCTTTTCCACAACCACCCGATGTGTCTTTTCACATGGTTGCTTAAGAAATGAGAAGCACCTCATTGCACCAGTTGAGGTTAAATAACTTTTTGCAGCTGAAAGAGAATCACTCATGCAGTAATTATCCAATAGGAAGCTCCTACCTGTTTGCTTAGTTAAATCCAGGCAGTGACTTATTTTTTTTTTGACCGGGCAGTGTATATCTATCTCTGCTATTGTGTCATGACTCCATGTTATGCCTCAAAGCTTTGCCGAGTCTGGTCCAATTTAATCAGATCTGCTAATCTCTACACAAGATGAGAGATTATTTGAGGCCCTGTTTTTAGTCTAAAGCTGGGATGTGATGTAACCAAATAATTGCTCAGAAATGTGCGTGTGTGTGTGTGTGTGTGTGTGTGTGTGTGTGTGTGTGTGTGTGTGTGTGTGTGTGTGTGTGTGTGTGTGTGTTTGTGTGTGTGTGTGTGTGTGTGTGTGTGTGTGTGTGTGTGTGTGTGTGTGTGTGTGTGTGTGTGTGTGTGTGTGTGTGTGTGTGTGTGTGTGTGTGTGTGTGTGTGTGTGTGTGTGTGTAGAGGCAGCCCGCTGTTACCACATGTCGTCTTTTGTGGAGACCAAAGCTTTGGAGCACCTCACAAAGTCACCAGTGGAGTTTGTCGAGTATCCTTGGCAACAGATACTACAGATGCAGAATGCCATGGCAACCACTTCTATACTCTGTGTTCCTCTTCCTCTGAATGCCTCTTTTTTGTTTAAATGTCAGAAATCTGTGTGAGTCACCGAGCAACTTTGAAATCAATTTCTGTTGGGGAAGTCTGGGTATTGGGAAGTCTGGGTATTGGTAAGTCTGGGTATTTGTGTCGGTCCGCTCTGAAGGCATTTTAAAGGCCCTGGGTCCACAGCTGAAAGGTTTCCATGAGGCTGTTCAAAAACAGGCTGACTGATTAGTCAAGGCATTTGTAATAGTACAGTTAATTTATAGTTCTATACTTCCTGGAGGAGAGAAGCCAAAGTGGTCTTGTTTTGATTAAGAAAAGCAGAAGCTCTGGATGTTTTGTCTCAAAACACATTTCAAGAGATGTTGGTCCATATTTACGGTGCCCGTCTGGTGACATTGAGGGGAAAAAAAGTAACTTGGGGCCACAATATACTTAATGCGTGCCCATGAGTTACTTTTTTCCCCCCTCAAACTCACCAGACAGGCACCCTACATATTGACATGATAGCATCACACAGTTGCTGCAGATTTGTCGGCTGCACATCCATGATGCTGTAACTTCCAAAAGGGTCAATTTTCACCTATATATTGACCAACATAGTGACCTTTCATCTACAGCATAAATCCACTTTCTGTTTGGCCTTCTAAATCCAGAAGGTTCTGTTCAGTGTGTGTAGCTGACATTCCATGAAGACAAAACATTCAAGCAAACATTCTCTCCCAAGGTTCTTGCACTCACTGAGTGTACGGCAGATGTCAACATTATTCACTCTGAATAAGAGAAGACTCCACGATTTTATAGTTATAAGTTGAATAATCGTGATGTATGAACAAGATGTTTAAATCAAATGTTTGAATAATCTGTGCTTAAATCAATGAATTTGAAATGATAATTGTTCTTACAATGATCCATTTATATCACAAATCACTATATGTTTGATTTAACAAGTTAATCATTGTTTACACTCATACACATTGCAATAAGATACATTTCAAGGTTAAAAACATTTTTGTATCTGAAGGAAGGCGTGGCTTTCTGAGGGATGTTGGTGAATTCTCAGAAACGTGTCGAATTCTGATTTGCCAAACTTGGCTAGAAATCATAACAAAGTAGTTTAATAAAACGAGAATTACTTCCCGAGTTATTCAGTTTCCAGCTGACTCCCCAATTCGGCCAAATTGGGAAAGAAGCATTTTTGAAACAATCTCCTTTGACCTTAAGTCAAAACCTTTCTGCAACGCTGCAAGTGATTACAGACACAACAGCTCTTTTCAGAGCTACTTCAACCCTCAGACATCCACCTTGGACACCTAACCTGCAGACCCTGGGTTGCATCTCATGGCTGGGGAAGCTGAACTCAGAGGAAGCTACTAATCTCTGAGTATTGTGGTTTCGACATCCGGTGACCTCACCACCCTGAGCAACTCATACAAGGGTATCGTAAGCCTGCATACTGGTGTCTGATGAGGGTTTTATCAATAACTAACTCTCTAATTTAAAACAAACAACAAATTCTTTTACACCTAGATTTCACAATTTCTCTCAGATACAAAGAACTTTTGTACTTTTGTACTTTGTACTTTTGTTTTCTGCTTGTGTGTAACTCTGATCAGAGGAAACTCTGGCGTCGCTCAGAGCTAAACTCATAACCCAGTCTGATCACCTGCGGTTGAAAATTGCCCAAAGCAAATGCCAGGCACAAAATAGCCATTTTTGGTTAATATTCCAGACGTAACAAGTCTGAAGATGTGATTGTAGTCTGTGGACACGTCACAGAAGCGCACATTTACTATTCCCATCATTGTTAAGCTTACGATAGCTTTCCAAATCCGTAAGGAATAGCGGTCACAACGTAAATTCCGTGAAACTATTGCCATACTGACAATTACGAGAGCCTATGAAAAGGAATGCCGTATGTCGAAGGGTTAATTTTCCTAGTGAATTTCAGCCGATGTTCTGGTACCATCCAGATCCAGCCAACGTTGCGAGGCTAAATAGCATTGCTAACGTTGAGCACAGAAGATAACACTATTGAAGCTCCTTCGGGGGGGAAGGTGGTTGACAAGGAATTTAAATTGAGCCCACAGTTTCTAAGTTAAACACATCTCTTTTAACAATGATAGTTTCTGCATCTTTACTGTTCCCCTGCTTCAGCCCCATAGACTGTAAATACGTTCAGCCCTCTCCCCCCTCCCCCGTGCAGCGGCAAACTCACTGATGCGCCTGCAGCCTCTCAGAGTTCCTGCTGCTTTAAACATTAAAATAATTATTTAATTTTCTGTTCCTCACTTCTGATTACCTTCAATGGTGTCTGTTTGTTGCAACCACCAAGTACAAAAACTAACTTGTTTTTATTTGACTATTTTTCTGTCCTGTCTGTTTATTATCTTCCTGCATCTCCTCTCAATCCTAAAGAAAAACTGCTACCTGGCTTCATATATATTCACCTTATGAGTTACCTTTGAACTGCAGTTCAAAAAGATCTACCGACCGCAAAAATAGCAGAGTGTGTGCCGCGCGCTGACCGCACCAGTGTGGTGAAGTCACCGGAGGACGAAACAGGTGATGCTCTCTGCAGCAGCAGCAAAACGCATCAGGCACAAATAAAAGACAGAAAACATAAAAGGATATGAGCCGACATAAACAATCGTGTGTTAAGTTTGTTTTTGAGGTGGCGACACTTTGATAATGTTACTGTGGCCATGCTCAGGACGCATCTGTCTGGAGCGCGTCAACGATCAGAGCTCTGCGCCTCTCAGCTCAAAATAATCCCCAGAGAGTCCACATAGATAATGTAATATAAGTAGAACCAGGATCGTTTTTGGACTCCCCCTGGGTGTGTTGAGAGCTTCCAGGAGCTCCCTTTAGCTCACCTGTAATTCAAATCCTGCGTATAGCACAAGTTTGTCATGTGAGTTGCCGGACCCTATCAGATAGTTGCCGGAATGGTCCTTTAAAAAAAATTGTTCCCGGATCTTGTTCTGGCAAGATCAGGCTCAAAATAAGCACTGCCTGACTCTGTCTGGATTAATACGAAGTGTGTTTATGGTCCCTGAATAAGCAAAGAACCCTAGAATCTTCTGATTAAACATTCAAAGATCAATCAGATTGATATTTCATATTTATATGGAATATCACATCTTATTGGTCATAATTAATACGAATGCAAATCTCCCGTTCCACCACATCCCAAAGGTGCTCTACTGGTTTGAGATCTGGTGGATGGGGAGGCCATTTGAGTACAGTGAACTCATTTTCATGTTCATAAACTAGTCTGAGATGACTGGAGCTTTATGACATGGCGCATTATCCTGCTGGAAGTAGCCACCAGAAGATTGGTACACCGTGGTCATAAAGGGATGGACATGGTCAGCAACACCACTCAGGTAGGCTGTGGAGTTGCAACGATCATCAGTTAGTACTGAGGTGCCCAAAGTGTCAAGAAAATGTCCCCCACACCATCACACCACCACCACCAGCCTGAACCGTTATCACAAGGCAGGATGGCTTTCATGTTGTTGGCCCCAAATTCTGGCCCTACCATCCAAACCATACCACCCTACCTCCTGACCTCTAGCATCAATAAGGCTTTTTCGCCCACAGAACTGTCACTCACTGGATGTTTTCCCCTTTTTCAGACCCTTCTCTGTAAACCCTAGAGATGGTTGTGCGTGACAATCCCAGAAGAACAGCAGTTTCTGAAGTACTCGGACCAGCCCATCCGGCACCAAGAACCATGCCACATTCAAAGTCACTTTAATCTCCTTTCCTCCCCATTCTGAAGCCGGTTTGAACTGTAGTGGATCGTCTTGACCATGTCAACATTCCTAAATGCATTGAGTTGCCACCATGTGATTGGCTGGTTAGCCGTTTCCATTAGCAAGCAGTTGGACAGGTGTAACCAATAAAGTGGCCAGTGAGTGTATGTCTTCAGGAGCATAAGAAAGTCTGTACATATCTTTAACATAATTTTGACAGATATAACAAATCCCAGCTGAGTCGCATTTACCCAAAGGGAACCAGAGTGGACTCATCAAATTTTATGCCTCAACTCTTCTGGAATGCTGGATGTCAACTGGTGGCTCTCAATTACCAAACTATTGGTAAAAATACATAGATGTGTGAGAAAGCAGTGTGGAAACAGAGCAGTCGTGAAAATGTTTGTGCTGAATTTCCTGTTTCAGATTTATCCATGCAGCTGAACCTCTTCATGTTCGAGTACAACGGTCAGAGTGGCTACAGGCTGAAACCAGAGTTCATGAGGCGTCCAGACAAACACTTTGATCCTTTCACAGAAAACACAGTGGACGGCATCGTAGCTAACACTCTGTCTGTGAAGGTGCTTGATTTTAATAAAACTCAGAAAGTAACCATTAGATGGACGTCTTCAGCTGATTCACTTTCAGAGTTAATTTGATTTAAGATCACCACCACAGCGAATGAAAATTAACAAATACAAAACATGCAGGACACGGTTGATGGTTAAATGCAATGTTTGGTTTACCTGTTTATTTGTGTTAGGTGATTTCTGGCCAGTTTCTAACTGAACGGAAGGTGGGGGTGTATGTGGAGGTGGAGATGTTTGGACTTCCTGCAGACACCAGGAGGAAGGCTCTGAAAACCAAAACCTCCCAAAACAACAACGCCATCAACCCAGTGTGGGACGAAGAGCCCATCGTCTTCAAGAAGGTGAGAAGGGAAAGTTCTAATTGAACCAGATGTTCCCATCAGTGGGGTGACATCATCTCTCCTGCAGGTAATTCTTCCCACTCTGGCCTGTCTGAGAATTGCTGCATTTGAGGAAGGAGGGAAGTTTATAGGCCATCGAATTATCCCCGTGTCTGCCATCAGACCAGGTAGGCAGCTGATGTATTGTCTCTCTTCGTTGGTTGTCATACCAGAAAATGTCCTACACATAATCTTGGAGGGCGTTCTTTTCCTCTTTTGGTGATGGAGTCTTTAAATCCGCTGATAAATTTAACACATTATTCAGACGATGACAGTCACTTCCTGAGGAACACATCTTGGCTCCCACTGTGTAAAAACCCACTCAGCTTCCAAAGACATGATGTTGTTTTGACAGCTTGAATTGTTGTTGGGTTTTTTTTGTAATTTGACTCAGAGTTAGAACCATCTGCATCTCTTCCTTGGCAGGTTTATATGATAGAGTTTTCTTCCTAAATAACCAGGTAAGCGGATGTTTTTCTGCAGGTTATCGTTACATCGGTTTGAGGAACGAGAAAAATCAGTGTCTAATTTTGCCGGCGGTTTTTGTCTACATTGAAGTCAAAGACTACGTCCCAGATACCTTTGCAGGTAAAAGCTAATCGGAACGTTAATCTTGGAAATGTTATCACAATAAAAAATTTACTTGTTTGATCGATTTTATTCAATTGAAGTGCATTTAAAAAATGATTAACAAAGCCTGTGAGAAATTTGAGATAAGACTGCAAATATTCACGCAAAAGTTATTTATTAATAAAAAGCTTCAGCAACAATGACTTTTTCAAGCGCTTTGATTATTTATCCTGCTGTCATTTTTTTTAATTCTGCACTAGAAATGTACAATTTATTCAAATTCCTACGCACACAAATTCTCTGTGGGTCTTTGGCGCCACCTACAGTAGATTTGTAGAAAATACTACATGATTAGTACATTTTTTATTTTAAAGCAGCTGCACACACTTCTTTTTATTTACATTTTAAGCTTTTTAGTTTCAAACTAATATTTTCAAGCTTGTGCACTACTAGACAAGCTTTCACATGTTTTTTATTTGTATCCAGATGTGATTGAAGCTCTGTCCAACCCGATCCGATATGTGAACTTGCTGGAGCAGAGATCCAAACAGCTGGCAGCTCTGACTCTGGACGACGTGGAGGAGGAGACGCAGACGGAGGTGAGGACCTGCCTCTGATCCCACGGCATTTAAATTTTAACCCCTTTAACCTGAACAGACAGATGACTGTGCTGACATTCAGGATGAGACTGAAAACGGAGCAGAGAGGAAAAACGATCTCAAACAAGTTCCCCTGGAAAACGGACTCAGTCCCACATCTGGTCCAGCAGGCCACACCCCCGTTGCCACAACACCCAAAGCCTCTGCAGCCAATCAGCAAGCAGCAGCAACAGGTAGCTGCATCACACTCCTCTGCAGCTTCTGTGGATATTTTTATTTTTGCATTAAAATTTATTGTTTCTGGTTTCAGATGTTTCCAAACCAGCAGCGAAGACTGAAGATCTGGTTTTGAGCGTTTTGATTGGTAAATATTTAACTACAAAAAGACTTTAGGTTCACATTCAACTACCCAAAGCTGGAATTTACTGTCTGGTGGCAGATATTCCAGCATGCACCTTGGAGAGCCTGCAGCAGTCCAAGGTTTACCAGAAGGAGCAGAGACGCCAGTTTAAAGAGCTGAAGGAGCTGGTGAGGAGGCACCAGAAGAAAACCTCTGAGCTTCTCCGAGAGTTCAGCAACAAGTACAAGAAGGCAGCGAGGCAGTGCAGCAAGAGCAGGTGTTTCATGTCTCACCGTTTCCCCGAGAAGATTACAAAAGGATGTCAACATAAACCCTGGGTCGAATTAGAACAACGGTGGGTTTGATCTCAGGATGTGTGTGTTTGTTAGGGGGTTGTGTTCTGAAAGTGAGAAAGACGAGCGTCTTCAGCAGCTGAAAGATGAGCAGCAGCAGCAGCTTCTGACCCTGAGGCAGGAACAGTACTACAGTCAGAAGTATCTACAGAGAGAACACATTAAAACGGTAACACGAGGCACATTTAGATCATACACCCACCAAGTTCACTACTGATTATGTTGGCTGTTCTTTGTTTCCATCAGCTGACTGAGAGACTGACTACTCTGGCTGAGGAGAGTCACAACGCTCAGATGAAGAAACTCAAAGACATCTGTGACAAGTAAGGGCCAGGATTGGGGCACCCCTGGTCTAGACACTCTCCATTGTAGCCTCAGCAGGTCTAACACTGGTGCTAACAATTTTAGATTGAGCCAATCACAGCATCATATATTTGTAAAGCGATGTAGGGCAGGCTTAGCACCAGAGCTGCAACGAATAAAAACTGCAAAGATGGCGGCGGCTCAGAAACGGCGCTCGTTTGATACAGTTTTGGCATCAACTTTGGAAGATTTACACTTGGGCTTTTCTTTGAGAAATGAGCAGATAAATGTACCCAAGTCATTTATTTAAAAAAAAAAGGTTGTTTTGCTGCTTCTTTGACAGTGGACTGTCCCACTGACTGATTTTTGTAGAGAGCAGTACGTCACGTTGTTCATTGCTCTGACTGGTCCTCGTGATGTTGGTTTGCATGCAGTGACAGTTTGAGAGATAACCGTAACTAACTGATCTGTCTATGGGTTGTGGCCAGATTATACGTTTACATCCGTAGGGTGGCTGCCTGGCTAACACATTCTAAAGAGTTTCAAGAACACATAAACATGGCCCTTGCAGGCCTCACTTGGTTAAGGTCAGAGGTCATGATTCAACAGTGAGGGTAAACCTACTGACAAATACGCGTCTCACGGTTCACAAAACACATCTTGTTGATGATAATGGCCTCTGCGTGAATATTCTGTAGACCGACAGATTAAATGTGTAACTTGGAAGGCGTTCCCCGTGTTTCATCAGGAGTAAAACTAATACTAAAACATCACATCAACAGTCAAACATGGTGGTGGTATTGTGATGGTTTGAGGCTGCTCTGCTGGACCACTTTCTATAATCAATGGAAGCATAAATTCTGCTCTCTAGCAGAACATCCTGAAGGCGAACATCTGATCTTTGACCTTATGCAGGCTCTCCAGTGTGTCTTGATGTAAACAATTCTGTAAAGGAGGATGGAACAGAAAATCCTCCACAGTGACATGAGCGACTCAGAACCAGGTATTGTAAAGCTTTGCTGCAGTTGTCTCTAGGACGGCACAAGCAGTGATCAGTTACTTTTTCATACAAGACCAGGATGGTTTGGACAAGTTCATTCCCTTAATAAATTCACAGTTCTAGTAACTGAATTTTGTGTTTACTTCCATGTCTGATAACCTTGCATTGAAAGGTCTTCGCTGATCGGAAACATTTGTGTGTGACCAAAAAGTAAAACAATTGTGATGAGTCAAATGCTTTTTCGCAGCAACAGATTTTCATCCAAGTTAACCATTTTTAGCTTTTTTTTCTCCTGGTGCTGCAGAGAGAAAAAGGAGCTGAAGAGGCTAATGGATCGAAGAAGAACTGAGAAGATCAACCAGGCAAAGACTAAAGAGAAACATCTGGCTGAAGAGTAAAATCAACAGACACACATGCACCGCTTTTACTTCACCCCAAACATGTTCTGCTGCATATTAGTTTACTTCATGTTCCATTCAGTTAATCATGTCAGAAGGAAATGCGTGTTTATTTTTCTGTGTCCCAGAGAGAAGAATGAGATCAACAAATCCTACGTCAATGAAGTGGTTCAGAACATTAAACGGGTGAGCAGCAGGCTTGGCATCCAGATTTTAGGTGTTGATTTTTTTCTCTGAACATAAAACTGTCTTCAGCTGGAGGAGACTCAGACGAAACGCCACGATCAGCTGGCAGAGCAGCACAACGAGCTCCTGCAGGAGATACAGGACCAGAAACCAAAGGTGAATTACAGTGATCCTCGTTTATCACGGGGCTTACTTTCTAAAAAAAATGACGGGTACCTGCAAAAGTCGCCAGCTGTATTTTTTTTTAAACACTTATTATGAATGTTTAAGGCTGTAAAACCCCTCACTACACATTTTATACACTTTTCTCAGACAGGCACTTCTCTTGTTTAAACACTCTTAGTGCCTTAATCATCACACAGAGCACAATGTGCTGTAAATTTTAAAAAAAGGATAGAAAATTCTGGTAAATGTAAGAATTTTTTTCAGATGTATTCACTAGTTTTCCCTCAACTAATTAAATAAAGTGAGCTGCCTGAATGTTTTTCCTGACAAAAACACAGCTAGAACACCGACCACTGATTATTACAGCTGCAGCAGCACCACAACAACAAAACAACCAGATCTGGGTCCGGCATTCCACTCCTCTCCTGCCCCTGCGCTGCTAGCACTGTAACACTGAAAACCAGGACAGACCTTGGATGTGTACTCACCAAGCAAAGACTTTTCAGATGGTCACATTTAACGCTTTTCCTCTCAGCCGCGGACATTTTCTTGTTTCAGACATAAAAACTTCAACTATTACCGTCATACATGGTTACTGCTAGCTTGTTCAAACAGCCCCCTGTCCTGTTGCTCATCTGTCTTTTGCACAATGATCAGATTGTGTGTGGATGTGATTCCAAGTCCAAACTCTAGTTGTGATAATGAGCCAAATAATATTTTCCAGAGTGAAATGTTGAGCGCGCATGTTGGACTAAGGCCTAATACATACTTCTCCATCCGCATTGGCAGGGAGCTGTACATATCGGTATGTGTCGATGGTAGGGAGATACGCAACGCCATTATTGGTAATGGCTCACTGATCTGTGTGATGGAGTGATGAGTGTTTTTAATCCAAGCATTAGGCTCATTTTAATGGCTTTTACCATCTTTTAAACCATTTCCACTGTACACTTTTATATCTTTAGTGTTGAATGTTTTATTGTGACTAGTGTGGTACATGATACTAGTTCTGCAGTTTAGTTTATATTATTTCTGTTTTGCCCTCCTCTGGCCGCCCACGCTCTCCCCAAAACTGGTTGCCACTCACCTGTAGTTAACTAGCTCTAGTTTGGGCAGTTTTTTCCATAATCCCTGCCCACCACTAGTCACCTGCCACTTAGTTTATTGTAATTCTGTTGGTTTTCTAGCTTTAGTATTTCATGTTTAATTGGAATCCTGTTGTTCGTTTTTTATTTTTGTTTTGTCTGTGAACCACTTTGTGTGTCTGTGAAACACAAGTCATTCCAACAGTCTGATGAATTCAAAATGATTAACAAGTTGAAATTTGACAATTTTTAATGTTCTTTTAAAAAAGTAACTAAAACTAGTATGCTGCAGAACAGGACAGCATGACTAATATAGCACAAAGTTGGCATTTTCTTCACAAAACTCCTCAAAAAGCTGTTCACTTAGTGACAGGAGGACTGCCTGCACTTAGCTAGGTAAGATGGTTTGCTGCTACATCAATCAAACTTTATTTATATAGCACTTAATCATGCAATACATGCAACTCAAAGTGCTTAACAAATTCAAAAGGCCCTGCAGACCCACATTTTCTCCCATCCCCAGAATTTTAAAAACAGTCTGACAATAAAAACCCTTCACAACACTCCTCCTCTAGCACACACACATGTGCCACTGCATACAGTAAACAACTAAAGAGAGTAAATAAAACAGCATTACAACTAGTGGTGGAGTGGGACTGAAGTAACCAGTTTGGGGAAGGCGTAAGTGGCCAGAGGGGCTAAACAGAAATAGTATAAACCAAAAACAAACAGAAATGTAGTACTTGAGTAGGTAGAAAGGCCAAGAATGAGTTACTAAGTGTGTCACGATGTGTGGCTGGAGATGGTGGACCATGTGTGTTGGTGGGTTCCGGAGGCAGAAGAGCAGGCACGGAGAACGTAAAAACGAATTTAATTACAGAACGGGAACGGCAGGAACAAACACAACGGTGACAACAAACAACAATGATCTGACGAAGGAACAGGAGCAAAACATGTGGTATAAATACACGAGGCTGATTGGGAACACATGGGCAGGTTAACGAGGGACAGGTGAAAACAATATGGACGAATCGGGGCAGGAGAGAGACACAGTCAAGAGGGAAGGGGCAGAACGTGACAGTACCCCCCCCCCCCCCCCCCCCTCAAGGGGCGGATACCAGACGCCCACAAGGCCACACAACACTCGGGACTCGAAGACTTGACTGGGGACTCGAAGACTTGACTGGGGACTCGAATACACTCGGACTCGGGACACTTGGACTCGGAGGACTCGGGGAACTGGGACACGTGGAATCGGGACACAGGAACACTTGACTCGGGACACGTAGACTCAGGAACTCGGACACTCGGATACTGGAAACTCGAGCACTGGGTCGGCAGAGCAGGGGCCTCTGATATAGGCGGCACAACTCTGGCTTCTGCGGGCTCTTTGAGTTCAGTCCTGGATGGCAGAGCAGGGGCCTCTGAATTAGGCGGCACAACTCTGGTCCTAGTGAGTTCATGAGCTCTGGTTTGGGCTGCAGTAGCAGGATGCTGAAAAAGGCTGCAGCCAGAAGGACCTGCAGGCGTAGGCCCTGCAGGCGTGGACCAGGAAGTGGGTGGGACTGCAGGAGCGACGTGAGGAAGCCCAGCTCGGCGGCAGGTACTCGACATCTGGTCGGAGCAGGTGCACTTCCCGATTTGCTGGGTCATCGGCGGAGGCTCGGGTGAAGGGAAGCAGGAAAAGAGCAGGAAGACCAGCCCTACCACTCCGAAGAACGCTGGCGTGCGCAGGGGTGTTTGTCTCACCAAAACTGCAGGATCCGCAGCTTCCGTGGGAAAAAACAGGACGGGGCGAAACAGCAGGAGAGGAGAAATAATTCCGACCACCCCGAAACAGCTAGGATGCGCCAGAATCACCCAGAGGGCTCGACCACCCCGAGAACAGGTAGGATGCGCCGAGATACACAACTCCAGGCCGGAATCTCCCTCCGCTGAAAAAGAGAAAAAGAAAAAATAATCCTCCAAAAAACAGATGGTAGCTCACCACAGGTCCAGGTTGGTCAGATCATTCTGTCACGATGTGTGGCTGGAGATGGTGGACCATGTGTGGTGGTGGGTTCCGGAGGCAGAAGAGCAGGCACGGAGAACGTAAAAACGAATCTAATTACAGAACGGGAACGGCAGGAACAAACACAATGGTGACAACAAACAACAATGATCTGACGAAGGAACTGGAGCAAAACATGTGGTATAAATACACGAGGCTGATTGGGAACACATGGGCAGGTTAACGCGGGACAGGTGAAAACAATCTGGACTAATCGGGGCAGGAGAGTGACACAGTCAAGAGGGAAAGGGCAGATCGTGACAAAGTGTATGAGGCATTGAGTAAATAACAAAGTGGTCAGCCTGGTAATACTGAATATGTGGAAGCATTGTTTAAACTAAAGGGTACAATAAACAAGACATTAAATAAATCAGCATTACAAAAAACTACCAATACTAGTGGTGATCTGGGATTATAGAAAATCAATAAACTGCACATGGAAGGGATTATGGGAAAGACAGCCAAAACTAGAGCTAGGAGACTGAAGGTTAGTTGTAACCAGTTTGGGGAGGGCGTAGGTGTCTAGAGGGGGCGAAACAGAAACAATAGAAACCAAACAGCAACATTTGTGTAGTAAAGCACTGGGTAGAGGACTAAATGTGGGCAGTCCGGGATTTCTAAGTAGTGAAAGCCATGATCAGGCTAATGGTAGAAAATGACCAAACTGAGGTGGTAAAAGCTGGTATATTACTGACTAAGTAGGTGGAGAGCCATTTTAGCCAATCAGAGGCGAGAAAGGCAGGACATTCCTTGGACATCTTACTTTTCCAATATTTGCAGGGTGCATACATGACTGTAACCCCAAAATTCCACTACCTCCGCTCCGGCACGAACTCCGCAGCTAAATCGGTCCCGTTGTAATCAATCAGAGCTGTTCCACTACTGCGGCCGTGCGGCGCAGTGCGCCGCCCGCCATTCCGCCATCCAGCAAAAATAGGATCGATTCTATTTTTGCTGGACGCCGGAGCATCTCCGCAGTCAATGGACAGAAATCACAACGGTCCAACAGGAAAAGGAGCAAGCACAACTTCCGTTATTTCACAATAAATCAATAAACAAAAAGCGTTTTTTGTTTCATATGCACAGGTTTAACAACTTTTAACAACTATCAATGGCGGCTGAACGTTAAATGCACAAAAATAAGTCATAAATACAGTTTCCACTATCAAAGTAGACACACTTTGTTGATCCAAACACTGCTGATCTCTCAACACAAATGATGGGCAGATTAAACAGTTCATTTCGATGCTTCTCCCACACAACGGGTGTTTGGATCTAACTTCCGCGTTTATTGCTCGGACTGTATCGCAAGATCTCGAAAATCCCGTGCAAGCCTGTTTGTGCACCTCAGGTCTCCGCACCGGAGCGGAGACGTTGTAGAGCGGGTACCAGTAAAAATTGAGTTCGGAAGCAAGCGGAAGGCGGGGGCGGAGCGGAGGTAGTGGAATTTGGGGGTAAAAGTGCCAGGATATCCCAGAAAAGCTCTATGCCCTCTGTTGTCCTGATGAGAAATTGCTTTGCAACACTCCCCAGGCAACGGACAAGTCCAAAGGGAAAATGTCTCCGTCAGTGTGTGGGACTCTAAACCTGAGCTGACAGAGGCTAATAAACCAGGCTTAATTTTTGTGGTCCCCTGATGGCCCTGTACTCAGAAAAATCCTAAATGTGCCACTGGTGAAATGCAACATCCAAACATGGAGCATTAAGAATGATGCAACATCAGTTAGAGTAGCTCTGTGTGGCAGTTATGCCTGACAGGTCAGAATTCTGATGGGTGCAAATGGTTCTCCAGCTGCAGGCGGCTGTGGAGGCCGAGTTTCAGGAGAAGTTCCAGCGTTTGCCCGGAGAGATCCGAGACTTCCTGCAGGACAGGAAGATGGAGGGTAGATCCAACAGCAAGTCCAGACCATCGACTCCACATGAAACTCTGTCAGAAGAAGACTAAGCAGGAAACAGACGAGGAAATAATCCAGAGTATGAAGACTGTTAGATTTTTAATGGGAAACAATGACGTTTTTATTTTGTGTGATTTAAGCATGAACTTTGTTACAGTTACTCACACATCATTTAGTCTTTTGTTCTACCATCAGAGAGCTGTTTTTACTGCATGACATCTATCTATCTACCATAAAACAATAAATTTGTTAATAATTATTAGTGAGTTTTCATTTCTGATCGGTTTTTTTTTCTCTGACAGTAAGACACATTTTGACAGCTGTTGGGTAAAATGCTTTTTGTTTATGTCAGTTGTTTTACTTGAATCCGGTCACCTAAATCAAACCCTTTTCTGCCTTGTTCCACTTGGTTGAAGTAACTTTTAGTTCATCATAAAATCAGACCCTTGGAAATTTTTTTGTTTTTAAACATGAGACGTGGAGTTTTCTGGTGAGCTGTTGAACGTGACTGTTAATTTAAGCCATTTATTGACGTCTGTGATGTCTGAGGACAAACAATGAGCTGCTAAAGACTAAAGTAGAAGTTTTGTCCCATTTTTGTTGCCATAGCTTCCCTGAAGCAGTGATCTTCTCAGAACTGCCCTGATGGAAGTTTAAAGTGAAGAAGCCTCAAATGTTTGCTGCCACCGCATGACCTGTTTTAATGTGAAATTTATTCATAATCAGCTTTTTGACGATGGATTGATTTATTCAGTATTATTTCATGATAATTAAACAAACTTCTGAGACAGTTTACCAGTTTCTTTGTAAAAATGTAAGATTTCTACATCTTGATCTTTGTACTGTGATGATCCTGAACTGAATCTGCTGCAACATTTTCCATGTTTTTTTGTCTGAGTTTATAAATCTAAAGCCTTGCTGCGTAACACAACCACTTTTCTCTGTGAATCATTTCTGAAGGTTTGAGCCACCGATAAACGCGTTTGAGTTTGTAAGTTAAGATTCATCCCGAAATCTTGTTGAACGCAGCTCTGCTTTAGCAATGATACTGAGCATGCTTTGTTGTCCTTAATTCCTCCACCAGTTGAACTATTTCTTGGGTTTTATTGGATGCTGTTTGAAGACAATTGCAAAAGATTAAATTATTTGAATAAAAAAATGGTCCTTTTTTATTTATTAGCTTTCAGCGTTCACAGAGATGAACTGTTGAGTTCGTTCTGCCCTCAAGGGTTCAAGAATCTCATATTACATTCATGTGCTGCCAAATCAAACAGGCCTATTTGGAAAAAAGCACAAGATGGTGAAATTAATATTTCTGCAGGGAGCAAAAGAATGATTACAAATAACAATAAATGCAGACTGTTTTAAAATGGACATTTAATAAGTAAATTTGGCATAATTGATTGGACAAACACCCACATGACTCATTCAAAGTGTGGTTATTATTATAGATTAACAGTCTGGACACTTTCAAAAAACAGCTAAAGACCCTCTGGGGGCAGGCGTTGCAGATTTGCAACATTAAAACCTACCTACCTGGTTACTCCACATACGTATTTCATGAGCATGTTTTAACTCAGAAGTACCCCTGAAGGACTTAGTTGTTCATCCTTTTATCAAAACTTATTTTGAGCCTGAGAGAGTTAAAGCTGCTTTTACCTAAATCTTTTGTTTTCCTATTTTTAACTCAAATTTATACTCATCTTTCATTTGTTTTACTTTATTTTTTTCTGATGTTAATCTATTTCTGTTTTGAGATCATTATGTTTTATTTTGTTTTGATTTATGTGAAGCACTTTGTGGTAGTAAAAAATGCTATATAAATAAACTGTACTTACTTAAATTTTGATTTACTTAAATTTTTACTTACATACTACATAATTCGGTTATAGGTCATAACTAGGTTATTCATTTTATTTTATTAGAAAAAGGCTAAATTACGGAGCAAGAAGACTAAACAGTAAAATGCATGCTAACAAGTGAATTCCTCTGATACAAGGAGGGATATGCAATATTTCATGGGTCTTAAATATCATGTTTCCCCCTGCTAACTTTGACAAATCAAGAGAAAATGTTTCTAGATTCACAGGACATGATGTCCACGATGGTAGGACTATACAACCCCAAATTTTTTATAAATATAATTGAAAGAGCTAAAGGTAAAATTATCTGGCAACACTTAAATAAATTACTTGGCCGTCATTCAAACAATAGTAAAAATACAATTGAACTTTATGTAAATAACTCTCTTGTTAGAGAGCCTCTAGCTATTGCCAGTAACCTAAACACTTTCTTTATTTCATCTGTTAAAGGGACTTTACGGAGTTTTGAATTTTTATGCTCGCGATTGCCCCCTCAGGCCAAAAGCGTAACGGCAGCTTCAATAGCAGGCTCGTGCACGAGGCGCGCATGCGTGCACACTCCTTAACGAAAATAACAGCTGAAACAGTCCCGTGTGTGTGTGTGTGTGTGTGTGTGTGTGTGTGTGTGTGTGTGTGTGTGTGTGTGTGTGTGTGTGTGTGTGTGTGTGTGTGTGTGTGTGTGTGTGTGTGTGTGTGTGTGTGTGGCCCGGAGGACAGAAGAATGCGCAGCTAATTAATTAAATAATTTGGTTCTGTACCTTTCTCTTCAGCACAGCCTAAAAAGGTTTAAGATGGGTCAGTCCTCCCACATGCTCTTGACAAAATTGTTCCAAAATGAAAGTTGAACCCACATCTTTTTTATCTGTGAATTCAATGCCGTTCGGCGAGTCTAAAAAAAAATTGGGCATCTTACTGTAAAAAAAATATACCATTAATGTAAAAAAGAAACTCTAAATAAACTAAGTTCACATCCAGAATTGAACCCAGGTCTCTTGCACGAAAGTCCATTGTCTTACTAGGCAAGCTAACGCGCCAGTGACATCACTTGTATCTGTAACATTTAAGAATGGTTCGGAGGGCTATGCCTGAGCGTGAACGCGCATGAAGCAGCCTGCTCGACCCGAGCAACTCTCTTTTTCTGTGATTTTACAGAAAAACAGGCAATCACAGTAAAAATGCCAGGGCTCATTCTACAGGACCAGGGCATTGCAGGAGAATGTATGAAGAAGAAATTTACACATGGATTTGCTTGTACGTCCAACCACTCATGTTTTGATTATGTCTTTCGAACACTCCATTGTTCCAACAGATTGGAAAATTGCGGCAGTTACACCAATTTTCAAAGCAGGTGTGAAGACTTACATGGCTAATTATCGCCCCATAAGCATACTCCCGGTCGTATCTAAAATAGCTGAGAAGTAGGTGGTTAAACTCCTCACTGCTCACCTAGAAAACACCCAACCCTCATTACATCCTGCATGGTGGCGCAGTGGTTAGCACTGTTGCCTCGCAGCACGAAGGTCGCAGGTTCAAAACTCGCCTTTCTGCGTGGAGTTGCGTGTTCTCCCCATGCATGCGTGGGTTTCCTCCGGGTGCTCCGGTTTCCCCCGCAGATCACAACATGCCCTATAGGTTATAAAAAAAAATTGTACGTCGCTTTGGATAAAAGCGTCTGCAAAATGAATAAACATAAATAAACATAAACATACATCCATTACAGTTTGGCTTTCGGGCACATCATTCCACAGTTACTGCCCTGTGTATGTTAGTGGAGAACTTGAAGAGCTTGCTGGATAAGAGTCGCTGTGTTGGAGCTGTATTTTTAGATCTGAAGAAGGCTTTCAACTCTGTAAACCATCAGATATTGTTGTCCAGATTGATTCAGTTTAACATCTCCAATCAGGCATTTCAGTGGTTTGCCTCATATCTCTCACACAGGAACAGTGTGTGGTGTGGGATGGGGTTAAATCTCCATATTTAGACTGTGATACAGGAGTTCCTCAAGGATCTGTTCTTGGGCCTTTATTGTTCTCTCTTTTTATTAACAACTTACCTGAAGTCTGTCCAAATATATTTGCTCAAATGTATGCGGATGATGCAGTTATATATACGCAAGCAAGTCCAGCAGGTGGCAAAAGATCTTACAGCTGCTTTAGCATTAATGCTTAGCTGGCTGGAGGACTCGTGCCTAATGTTGAACACCTCAAAAACTGTCTGTATGCATTTTTCAAAACGCCCCTTAAACTTGAAGCAGTCAAATATATTCCTGGATGGAGCAGAGCTTGATCTAGTACCAGAATTTAAATACCTTGGGGTCATTCTAGACCCAACATTATCCTTCAAGAGTCATATAAATAAAGTGTCCCAGGTACTTAAATTTAATAGTCAAAATTGTATTCATATACGTAATAATCTAAATATGAATTTTGCAAAAACTTATTTTTACTCAATGATCATCTCTCATATGGACTATTGTTTGACATCCTGGTCACTTGCTTGTCCAACAACACTTAAAACTATTGAAAACATTCATGAAAGTAGTTTAAAATTACTTGACAAAAAACCGACTTCCCACCACCATTGTCATGTGTTAAAAAAACATAAATTACTGAACTTCAATAACTTAATGAAACTTAAAAGAGTCTGTTTAATATATAAAGTCTTACACTCCCTTGCTCCACCACCACTAAAGCAGTTCATTAGGCATAAAGAAAGCTCAAACAGGACTACACGAGCTACAATTCGAGGAGAATTGTTTGTCCCACATAGACGGACAGCATTTGGGCAGAACGTCCTCTCTGTCAAGGGTGGCCATCTGTGGAACAGTCTTCCTCAACCCATTGGAGAATGCTCGACTTTCAATTTGTTTAAGGCAAAGGTTAAAAACTGGTTATGGAAAAATCAAGTGTGTGATCATGTATGAGTTGTATAGTTTTAATGTTTTATTTGTGAATAGAATGGTGTGTATGTGTAAGTTTGGTGATGGAGTTTTTATTATGAATGAATGATGAATTTTTATGAATTATTATGTCTTTTTATGTCTAAGGACAACAGATGGAAATTAGCCTTTGGCTATAATCTGGCATGTTTACATTCGTGTAAGCTGCTTTTACATTTATGTTCATTAACATGCACTGTCCTCAATAAATAAATGAAATAAAAGAGGATTGTTAATCCCTGTCCCACAGGGTAATAAAAAGTCTCAGCAAGTCGCAGGTAGAAATTTTTCTGTTCCATTTGATGTTCTTATAAATATTTTTTCTCCTTTTATGAGGAAATGTGTTCTCATGTGTCACAGGGAACCTTTGTAGGAATATTTAAACTGTTTAAAAATTACTTCTGCCCGCTCTGATTGTTTTAGACACATAACATCAATAACAGGCATTTACAATCACTAACTTGCTTCATGAACAATCTCTTATTAGTCCATTAATAAGTAAGTAAGTAGCCTTTATTGCAAACAGTCCAAAGAATACAAAGAAAATTATACAAAGGTGACATTAAAAAGAAAACAACAATAATGTGTCAGATGTGATATTAAAACGCGTTTTAATCATGAAATACCTACTGGGCCACAGTCTTATTTTTTTAGAAAGCCGAATTGCGCAAGATTACATCATTTTACATAACTATCAAACATGGAATAAGATGGAACACAATTTCTTACAAGACTGATGCGTACCAGCCAACTTAAAGTACTGCCTTTGTGTGATATGACTATTTCTGTGAAGAGATTGTAATGTTTTTGACACGTTTTTATTGTATTAGAATTTATTTTTGAGGCCCTTTCTTCAGAGATAGCCCACTGGTTCTTTTTTTTAGATCTTTAGATTGCACCAGCTCGTAGCCTTCCCGTTTCTATCCACCAGGTGGCGACATTGCTTCATAAACACCCTGCGTATGTGTCTAGCCGTAGAAGAAGCGCTTTTATCCTCCTCAGCATCAGCACCAGCAGCGACGTCTTCTCCCCTCTCACGGTTATTCTCTCCTCCTCTGCGGAACTCCGGCCTGTTTTCTGCGCATCATGGACAACTCCGGCAAAGAGAAGGAGGCCATGCAGCTGATGGCTGAAGCCGACAAGAAGGTCAAAGCGTCCGGATCGTTCCTCGGAGGGATGTTCGGGTAAAGATGTTCTCTTTCTGTTTACCGCTGTCGCGCAGTTTGGGATGGGGGAGGGATTCCTGCACGCAGGATCCCGTCAGTCCCTGTCAAATAGGTTTTATTAGCGGATAAATAATGTTTACATGCCTAAATAAAACATCAGAAACCTATTTGTAGCGCTAGCAGCGGGTGTCCGTTTCTCTGAGCTAAATCGGTCGGCTTCATCATCCTGTTCAATCGTCATGAATGATTCTCTCTGCAGAAGGTGGCGACTAACTGCGTGACACCAACATTTGAGATTTCATAGATGTTTTAACCTTCGGTTCGAAATACTCGGAGACACAGTCTGGGGTAACTGCTGCAGCTGCGGGGGCGAATGGGAGCGGGAGGCCTGGCTGAGGGTTCAGGGAGGCGGTGAGAGCAGCGGAGAAAAGCCGCTGTCGACTGCGGAGGATGGATCTCTTCCTTTGGTTTGTGTGTGTTGGGACAGGAGGGGGCCTTCATTACTGTGGGAGGGGAGGACGTTTGCAACATAAAATGGAAAAACGCAATATAAATACTACATGAGTTCATTAGGTGGTTTATTGCATGGTTGATGGATGGTTAATGCTCTGGGAGCTCTGATTTAGATTTTCCAGAGTAACCATTTGCATCATGTGGATTAATAAGATGCAAAGAAAATCTTTAACATGATTTTTTCAATCATGTTTTATTGTGTTCCATTTTTAGTTTCAGGACTTGAATGAACACAGATAAAAAAAGACTAGGATGTTCTGAAAGATCGCCCCTAAAAAGGCCCCAGAATAAAAACAAATAAAACAGGCAACATCCTAAAGTTGTGAAATGGGTCACATCTGTGTTCCCCATCCCAGCAGCAGCATGTTTATTTAATGAGCTTCTGCCCTGAGTTTAGACACTGTGGACTCTTTATAGATCTGTGATTCCCCTGCTCGATAAAACATACAAGAGCTGCTTTTCTTTCTCTGAGTGTGAATCTCTTTAACTGCTACAGACTGGAATGTTTCCTTCACACCGGGACGACCAGGCCTCCGATCACAGGTTAAAGAGAAACAAATCTGGGAGTTGTGAAACTTTTGTCAACGAGACTAATTTCCTGTCTGAGCAGACATACTAGATGTTTCTGTGCAGATTGACCTCCTCAATGTTTTTCCTTAAAATCTTTTAAAACTCTTTCTTTATTGTTGTAAAATGCATTGTAATAAACACCAAATTGAAGCATATCAATCAGTTTTATATGATCAAGAAAAGGACAGACAGATGGGGGGGGGGGGGGGGAATGAAAACGAGCAAAAATTTGTACTTTTTTATATTTAAATTGAAACAAGCAAGTGAGGACAGGCGAGGTATATGTGTGTGACAAAAGTCTGATGTTCACTTATCTTTTTTATTTTATATTTGTTTTTGCAGCAGTAAATGTCAGATTAAATCAATGACTGGATTTTACAGTGTTTGATATCCCACACTGTCCTCTGCAGTGACGTCTGTCTGCTAAAAGACCTGCAGGAGATCATTTTATACCTCATTCAGGATAGTTTAAAACATAAAGTCTGGACAGTTTTGTTTCAAATAAGTCACCACCATCTTAATTGTTCTGCTCTGTTGCATCATCCTGCCCTCCAGACCTCATAGAGCACTGATTGGCAAAACACGAAACTGATCAGGCCAACAATGGACCTGCTGAAGCTCCAGTGGAGCGTGGCTAGACCAGGGCTGTACTGACCATCGAGCAAGGCAGGCATTTGCCCTGCAAGGTCTGCTCTAAAGGGGGGCAAAAGGGGACATTGCCCCCTCAAATAAAGTTCATGCCCACTCAAACAGATTTGGCTCTAAACTTGAATTTCCACGTAAGAGCTGATTATTGACGTAAGTGTCATCAGTTGTTGACTAGTTCTACACCAGCTCTTCTATGAGAACGAGTTTTATTACCACCTCCACCTTCCGCATTATGGTGCCAGGCCTCCCACTAAATATGTCATGGATAACTTTCTGGCCTGTTTGCTTTTGTTGATTCAACAATGATAATGTTCCATTTGCTGCCAGCAAAAATGAATGAAAACTCATTTATTGTATTTTATTTTCAACACATGTGCGTGTGAACACCTGTACCTGTGTTCACTCTTGTATCAGACTGGCTTTGATCATTTACTGATGAAAGTGTGAAATACAAACCACTGATGAGATCTAGAAGGCCGACTCAAGTTTATACTTAATTATTAGGAAAGCTGTAGACAGAGACTCATCTTACTCAGTAAATATTCCCTGTAATTATTCTGAAAAAGAGTTGTGTAGACACATACACACACACACACACGACTATGCAACTGCACTTAATGAACTACATGGTAACTTGGCGCTCTGACAGATGTTATATTCTTTGCTGATGTTTCTTTATATTTGACTTTAACAAGCAGCTGCATATTAGCGTGTTTTCTTTTCCTGTTGATGCTGTTATGTTGTTTGCAGAAACAAAGATTATTATTTCAAACTTTCAACAAAATAGGCACATGTATGAGTATGACAAATGGTAACCTAGAAACATGTATATCTGCATGTTTTGGAGTTCCTAAAACCTGATAAAGGAAATTTTATTTATTTATCTTTCAGTTTCCCCCTGAACCATTGCCACCTTATTGTGTTCTGGGGGTTTACATGCCTCAGTGAGCCTAGGAGCTGCACCAGCAGAAGCCCAGCCTTCAGGTGGTACACCGTGGTAGGACAGGTCTAGGGTCATGATATAGAATAATAATACCTTTTTTTTCATAACAAGCTTTTCTAGACACTCTGAGATGCTGTAAAAAGTCTAGATAAAACAGGCAGATTATCCAACAGTAACAATCTTGTTTAGAGTTGTTAAGGTGGAGAGGTCAGAGGGGTTGTGGGAGGGTAGGTGCAGCAATGGACAAAGCTGAGTCTCCCCGAGTTCAGAGCTTGGTCCTGTGGGGGAGGAAGAGGAGGGAGAGAGATGGGGCAGACTTATGGAGGACTTTGAATGTGATGTACTGAGGAAGAGGAAGCCAATAGAGGTCATGAAGAGACAAGAGTGATGAGGACACAGGAGAGGGTGTTGTTTAGAAAAGACGCAGCAGAATTCTGGATGTGTTGACGTCTGGTGAGAGTTTTGGATGGGGTACCATAAAAGATGTTATTGATGTAGTCCCGTGGTTTTCCATTTTTTTCTTTGAGGACCCCCCTTGCTTGTGTCCGTGACAAGTCAGGACTTCCAACCCCAAATCCTACACGCATACACACATTAAATGTGACCGTTTACCATTTTTATGCAGACCTACAGTGATGACTTATGCTGTAGGGCGTGTTATTGGGACATAAATGTAAATTTTTACAAATAAAATCTTGCTTACTTCACAACCTCAACAAAGACAAAATTGTAGGGACCCCCTTGGGAGTCCCAACCCCCAGTAGGGAACCCATGCTGTAACTGATTTACGATGTGATGAACACCTTTCAGGGACAGACTAGAAAAGGGGAGGTCAGTGTTCAACAAATCCAATCACATGAGAAAAACACCCAGAGCCCCTCCACCACCAACACATGCTTTTTCCTCTTCCCTCGCCACAGTCTGCCCCTTTACTATTTATTTATTTAGACATTTATTTAAAGAGGAGGAGCCTCATGAGATGTGCCATCTCATTTTCACCAAGGTCCTCAAATACAGAACAAGAAAGCGGCAGAAGGCAGTCAAAAGCATATACAATTATTAAAAAAGAAAAATATTTAAATAATCTTACTAATAATAATAATAAATGAATAAATAATCACCCAAAAACAATTACAAACCACCAAACACACACATACACACACTGGGACCAGCTCACAATGTTCACAACTCAAATTTGCCAGTCTAGAACTGGCCCTGTTGCCCATTGGGCCTGAATGTATATTATTAGTAATTTATTAAATTATTTAGAGCCGGATCATCTATTTCTGGGCCGGCCCTTTTATTTATTTTTTGTTTTATTTTCAGTCCAAAAATAAATGGGCTGGCCCAGTCTATTATCGTTGATGGGCTTATCTGACATATTTGCTAATGAGCTAAACACAAACAGGAAGAATCAGTGGTTTCAACAATACATCTTAAAATGCTGCATTTCTATCACACTGCAACCATGAACCTGCCTGATCTTTATATTGGCCAACTCCATCTCAGTCATGGAGCAGCTCGCCATCAAACTGAAGCTAGTTTATAAATGTCATCCTTTAACTTTCTTCAGTATTTGCATTTCTCATTTCAGTAATGATGATTTTACATTTGCTGCCAGTAAAAATGAATCTTCATTTATTTTATTGTTGACATTTACAAAAGCAAAGCATGCTGTTTATCCAATGATTTTCATCATAGACGTCATCACTGACAAACCAACTGCTATTAATCAGCTGATTATGAGGTTAAAGGCCGCTACACGTGCACGTGTGCGCATTAGGGATCTGAATCACTGATTCCACCATTGAGACTGATGTGATTTGTATCGTAATGCATTAACAGCGATGCGATACATTAACGCAGTGGTTCCTAACCTGGGGGTCCCGACCCCCACAAGGGGGCGCCAAAGCCTCTCAGTGGGTCGCCAGGACCTCTCCACTTTAAGGGGTTAAAACTTCCTTTATTACTTGTTTATAGCCTACATTTTGCTCATATTTTTTTCATGAGTGAAAAGTTTACTGATATTAAGACATGAAATAATTAGTACAGAAAAAGTAACACACTTTTAAGAACATTTTGCTCAGCTCAACGTTTTATTTTCAAGTGTCAAAAGTTCATTAAAGATAGGACTGGTTGATTAATCACAGCGTTTACAGTAAATTATCTAGTATAAACAGTAATATACACATTTAAGTACATTTTGCTCAGTGTATTTTTTTATGTGTCAAACGTTTATTGAAAGGAATGATAGATTTATCAGTGTTTACAAGAAACAATGTGTTCAGAAAAGTAATACAAACTGTCAAGCACATTATGCTCTGTTTGGTTTTGTTAATGACTTTGTTCTGTACTGGAGTCTACTATTACTGTTATCTATTGAATCAAAGCATATTAAAATGTGCTTGAACAATTTTATCATTTCTTAATAATGTTTGTACTGGAAGAGAGAATGGGAGGGGGTCGTCAAAAATTTGACTGGTAACAAAGGGATCCCTTGGGAAAAAGGTTGGGAACCACTGAATTAACGGAACGGTGAAGCCTTTTGCCGATACGATTCATCCCTGGTCACAATTCGTTAATGACATGAAAACGTATATATATATATATATATATATATATATATATATATATATATATATATATATATATATATATATTCACCCATCCATCCATTTTCATCCGCTTATCCGGAGTCGGGTCGCGGGGGCAGTAGCCTAAGGCGAGAGCCCCAGACTTCCCTCTCCCCAGCCATTTGGGCCAGCTCCTCCGGGGGAATCCCAAGGCGTTCCCTGGCCAGGTGAGAGACATAGTCTCTCCACCTTTAGGCCTCCTCCTGGTTGGACGTGCCCGGAAAACCTTACCAGAGAGGCGTCCAGGAGGCATCCTGACCAGATGCCCGAGCCACCTCAACTGGCTCCTCTCGATATATATGTGTGTGTGTGTGTGTGTGTGTGTGTGTGTGTGTGTGTGTGTGTGTGTGCGTGCGTGCGTGCGTGCGTGCGTGCGTGCGTGCGTGCGTGCGTGTGTGTGTGTGTGTGTGTGCGTGCGTGCGTGTGTAAATATATACATACACATGCATATACATATATATACATTTGTTGTGTTGCGCAACTTTTTTCATGTTGTGCAACCTTTATGTAACAGTCAATGCACGCAGCTCATCTGTATGCAGCAGCAAAGCAGACCGAGGCAGATCAGAATGAGAGAGAGCTATATGTCACACGTGCGATGCAAAAGACTCAATGTGAATCTATTTTTAGACATAGCACTCCTGTGACATCTTTTCAAGTTACCTTTTTACCCCAGAACTTTATTGCACAAAGGTAAGTTGCTCGTTATTATGTAAGGAAGATGCTTTATACTGGCCCACAATGTGCTAATCTAGCTGCTGTGAGGGAAAACAGAGAAAACAACCAGATAGAAAGGCAGAAACAGTCCAAAGTTTGGTATCAAATGTGCACCAATGGGCAGATTAGCTAATGCTAGCCGGTAACAGGCTCACAAACAAGTGGGATTTAGAAAAAACATGATGCTTGTGAAACTAAGATTATCTTAACTCTACAAGCAGAAGAAAGATCCCCACCATCCTGTTTATTCTTAGCTGTCCGCTGCACAATGGAGCAGAACCGCTGCAGTCAGGTTGCTGCTTCGAGTCTGCTCTGCTCAACACTGCTGTAGGATTAAGGCAAGCCACTGTAGCATGCAATTCACAAACGTGTCTCTTTGAACATATTTTAATTGGATTACTCCTAACCTGTACGTAATAGATATGTCACTATTACATTTTTAGTAGGGATGTGCATTGGTGAAATTATGGTGATACGATACGTATCACGATACAGGGGAGACAATATATCACGATTTATTGTGATACATTCAGTCAGCTGATATTAGCAATTTTTTAAGACTGAAATTATTGTAGGAAAAGTTAATAAACAGTCTAAACTGATACTTAATAGTTTTGTGCAGATTCTGTTTATAATCATAACACACTATTCCTGACTGTACTGAACATTTTAGTGTATAATTTGCTCTTTTGGGGTTTTTTAAGCTCTAAGGCTCAAAACAGAAAAAAAAACCAAACAAAAAAAATAGAAAAAGGCAGAAAAGAAGAGACTTTACTTTTTTTCATCAAACATCAAGAATGAAATAAACAAATTCATTGATGGTCGGTTGATCTCCACACTGTGTGTGTTACAGAGGGAACCATAAGGTGGAGGATGCCTGTGAAATGTACGCTCGAGCAGCCAACATGTTCAAGATGGCAAAGAACTGGAGTGGTGAGTGATGTGCACATCTCTCTCTCTCTCTCTCTCTCTCTCTCTCTCTCTCTCTCTCTCTCTCTCTCTCTCTCACACACACACACACACACACACACACACACACACACACACACACACACACACACACTTTTAACTGAATGCTTCCACATTCCAACCACTGAGGAATTGCTCAACATCCTGCAGAGGTTAACAGCAAATTAAAGAACAAATAAATGAGTCTGTTGGGTCTGCAGAGAGCAGCGTGTGCTCCAGATAAAGCAGCTGTGCTAATAGCTCACTTTACAACTGTTTGGATGTGTGTTTTAATCAGAAGACATTTTTATTTTTAGAGGAAACCTTACCAGAGCGTTAGTATTTATTTTCAGTGGTGTGTTTTCAGCTGCGGGGAACGCGTTCTGTCAGGCTGCTCGGCTCCACATGCAGCTTCAAAACAAACTGGACTCTGCCACCAGCTTTGTTGACGCGGGAAACGCCTACAAGAAGGCTGATCCCCAGGGTGAGCTGCTGCTGTCTCTAAAACACACACACTTTATTCAATGCTCCTGATGATCATTAGAGTTTCAGTTTGTCATCAGACCATGATGAAAGTCTGTCAGGAAGTCAAACCCAGGATTTATTTAATCTGAGAGATTAAATGTGACTGTGCATTGTGTTGGCTGGAGGATAGTTTGACACTTAATTCCCTCCTGTAAGATTTATGTTTCTTTAAAATGCTCAATTTGAATTAGAAATTTTAATTTGAGCTGTTTCCTGATCAATATTAATGACGTTTGTTCCTAAATATGCAAACATAATGAGTTACCGAAGTCCCATATTGATAAAATCCTCTGAGCTTGCATCCATCACTGTTAAAAGCTGGATTCATGATGATGTTTAGGTGAAATAATTCTGTGCATTGGCAGGTTTGGTGGGACTTTATTTAGGAAAATGTTCACTTTTTTATTTCAACCATGAACTTCTTTATCTCCACTGGCCAGGTAAATATCCATGAAGGATATCTGCAGGTGAACTAGTTTTTTTTCTTTGCAGTTAGCGTCCAGTTTCTTCTTAATGGTTTTTGAATCTGCAATTTGTAGACTTCTGCTCAGATGAACTATTTATTGTTCATGTAAAAACCTGGAGACTCAGTGTGTTGATTTACTTTTTACATTTGGTTCATAAAGCAAATTATTATTATTATTATTATTATTATTATTATTATTATTATTATTATTATTATTATTATTATTATTATTATTATTATTACAATGTTTTATTATTTTATTGATTCTTGAAGTTAAAACTTCCACAGAATTTAACAACTAGTGCTGATTATAATAAAAGACTTTAAACTTCTGCTGCCTAACTTCAGAGGCGAAGGGAGTTTATTTTGTTGAATTAAACAGATCCAGATTTTTTAGAGCAGTCAAATATAAATGATTATATTTGCATATTCTGCCTTTATTACAATGACTGTATCTTTTACAGTTATACCCATCTCTGTTGGAGGGTTTATTACAATGTGTTTCTTGAGGAAAGCTTACTGTATATCTGGGTTTTGTTCTGGAGCTCTCCTACTTCCCCATGATGAGCTCTGGTTTGGCAGGTTAGCTGGGATTATTGGGAAACTGGGATTAAAGACTGTTAATTTGATTTAATAGACTCTGAGGGACTTGGCCGGCTCTGTTTCGGTCTAATGTCTTTGTCATGATAGTGTCGCTCCTCACCTTTCCATCGCTCTCTTTCCAGAGGCGATCAACTGTCTAAACCAGTCCATCGACATCTATACCGACATGGTAAGTCCTGTCTGAGCTACCAAAACCCTCTCTGTAGGGATGTTTTCTTTAAATAAAACTCACTGTGTGTGTGTGTGTGTGTGTGTGTGTGTGTGTGTGTGTGTGTGTGTGTGTGTGTGTGTGTGTGTGTGTGTGTGTGTGTGTGTGTGTGTGTGTGTGTGTGTGTGTGTGTGTGTTCGTTACAGGGTCGGTTTACTATTGCAGCCAAACATCACATCACTATAGCAGAGATTTATGAGTCAGAGCTGGTGGATATTGAAAAGGTAAAGCGAGTTTCTTCCATTTCATGTGATTTGTCTGTTTTCTTCGATTTACTCATTATTTATGTTTGTGGTTTTCAGGCCATTGCTCACTATGAACAGGCAGCAGATTACTACAAAGGAGAGGAATCTAACAGGTAATTTTCACTGGTGGATTGTGTTCTGGATTGCAAGATCATGAAAAAATATTCAAATAACTCTTTATTCTGTATAAGCTTAAAATGAAATCCTTTTTGTCATCTTAAGGAGGAAGTTAAGTTTATATCAACATTTATACTCTGGGGCTTCATTTTACTTGAAAAGTTGCTGCTCTGGAGAACATAAGAGCATAAATAAGTTATGCTGATTTACACTCCCTTACATGGTTGCTCATTTTTGCAGTTGGGTGATGCATCCTCCGACACTCTCATTAGGATTTTATTGTGTTGAGGTAACGGGTGTTTTTATTTGGGTTACAGCTCAGCAAACAAATGTCTTCTGAAGGTCGGACACTACAGCGCTCAGCTGGAGCAGTACCAGAAAGCAATTGAGATCTATGAACAGGTACTACATGAGCTGTCTTCTGGGAGATTAGCTTTGTTGGTCAGAGTTTATATATTTAGATACTGTTGGTGCAACCTGGAGCTGGCATTTTCTTTAGTTTCGTTTTCATTAACATAAAATAATAAAACAAATACTAGATAAAACAAACAGAAATATATATTAAATGACAAAATATGATTCAGAGGACTTTCTTTCTTTTTACGTTTTTGTTGCTTTGCTGGCTGGTTGGCTAGTTAGTTGGGCTGATTCTTCAGCATATTAGAAATGTGACGTGAGAGCGTGTGAAGAGGGTCAAATGCGTGAGAGTTGGCAGACTGGTGTTGGAAAGCCAATACTGCACAGAACTGTAAACACATACCCTGGCCAACAGGTATAGTTGTTCAATTTGTCAAGTAAATAAATTTGGCAATCCAGCAGTGCTGAACTAGTTTTTTTGGGTACGTACTACTCATTATAATTAGGTTCTATTTGTTAACTAGATAAAATAGGTAGAACTAACCAATTTTTCTTTACTTCTGTCTTTAAAGTGACAAAATGTAGTTTTTATCATTAATCTCTGGACCAGTGGTTGACCACGATGCTCGCTTTTTTAAATGTAAACTGAAGCAAGCTTTAAAAGCTGACCAGGTCTGCACTCACTTTTAGAAATTTTTATTTTTATTGATTTTTTTATTGTTTTATTGCAATGCACTGTTTTATAGTTGATGCATATGTTTATCAACAGTTTTTTTTTTATTAAATTATTTCTTTTTACTGAACCGGTCTAGGGACGGACATTGTAAGTTATCCTTGGATATAAATGTGATTGTGTGTTACAGGTCAAATGTACACACTTGTCCCCTATCAAATAAATAAATACAGATACAAATATTTCATCCACCTTGTGCTATTTGAGTGCTTAGTGTATGGCAACGCTTTTGTCTAGAAACATCATTCAAAAGACGTTGGAAAAGGCAAAAGACGTATTCAACACCTTTTTGATATCATTTATAATGGAGACCAGGATTAAACCTTATATTATTGTCATACTTTTATATAAAGAACAAAAGAGTTCAAAGTAAACGGTCGAGGACAGAAAACTCTCTTTGCTATTGAAAATAGATTTACTGTAATTAAGCTGCATTAAAGATGCTATAACTGTGTTTCAGGTTGCTATGAGCACCATGGACAACCCTCTGCTGAAGTACAACGCTAAAGAATATTTCTTCAAAGCATCACTGTGTCACTTCATAGTGGACGAGCTCAATGCCAAAGTAACAAACTACTGTAGTTTTATACTGTTTTGTGATTATTATCAGACCTGAGATCAGATGTGCCTTAAATACTCAAATATGTATGTTTCAGCTGGCCATAGAGAAGTACGAAGAGATGTTTCCAGCCTTCTCAGACTCTAGAGAGCTTAAACTGCTTAAGGTAAATGAATGTTGTTATTTATTTCCTTTGTTTACTGACTTTGTATTTGGTTTTAGGATTTTATAGGTTTTTGTTAACCCTTTAAAGCAGGGGTGGGGAATCCTAGTCCACCGAGTGCAACTATCCTGCATGATTTAGTTGTTTCCCTGCTTTAAAGTGACACTAAAGGGTTTTAACACTTTAAGCCAGAGGAACTGAAACATAAGTGGCCGAGGGCCACACTTATGAGTGTGAGGGCCGGTCTGAGGGGTAGGGGCTGCTGCTGTTAGAGTAAGTGGAGCTGACACTGTGGCAGTATTTAAAGATCCGGTGCGGGGGGTGGGGGGGGGGGGGGGGGGGGTCCGAGGACCACAAAGAGGTAGCTGGCCTGCCAGACTCGTCCTCTGTTTATTTCTGCACAGAGAACTAGTGTGGTAGCTCACAGGCAGAGAGGCACTTGAGGGGCGGGACTAGGCAGCTCAAAAATAACCAATCACAAAATAGACGGAAATGCCGACTGTACCGTGCGACGCTGTAGTTTTTTAGCTTCTACTTGTTGGGGTTTTAAAGACATTCGAGTCACTTAGAACAGAGGAAAGAGCCACAGCGAAGTCCGCTGCTGTCTTTGTTGTTTATAAGAAACTGAGCATCGCTGTGTGTGACGTCCGCGACGCTGCAGTTTTTCAGCTGTAGTCAAAAATGGTGTCTGGCGACAGCGCAAGCATCTTTCTTTAGGAGAAAGGCTTTTAGCGCTTCTACTTGTTGTGGTTTTAAAGACATTCAAGTCATTTAGAACAGAGGAAAGAACCGGAGCGAACTCCGCTTCAGTCGTCATGTTTATGACAAACTCGGCGTTATGGTGTGTGAGACGTACGCTACTCAGCGCTGATTGGCTCGGTTACAATTCTCAGGGGGTGGGGTTATTTGAATAGGAGAGTTACCAGCTATGATGTACAATGCTATGATGTTACACGCTGCAACAGAAGAAGAGGAAACTGCTTACTGTTATTTTGTCACACCTGACTAATCAGTGGATAATTACCAGGTTTCTACAGAGCTTGATGAGCTGCTGAACAGGTGGTTGAACCTCTGACTCAGGAGTGTTAGAGCAGAGAAACAACTAAAACATTACTAGTCCTCAAGGACCAGAGTTCCCCACCCCTGCTTTATGATGCATGAAATATTATCTTTTCAAAAGACCAATCAGTTCATAAATTAATGTCAGTGAAACAATTATACTAATAATAAAACCTGTTACGAAGTAAATATAGAACACTACAACAATAACAAAAGAAAATTGGCTTGTGTGTCCTGCAGTACTTAGAACTGTACAGCCTTCAATAGAAAAATAAGTCTGAGTAAAGCTGGCCAGACACTGTGCGACTTTTTCAAATGTAGCACTCAGCTTCAGGTCAAACTGTACGACTTCCTCGCAGAGCGAATCTCACAAGTCGTGCTCACACTGTACGTCTGGTAGCAACACGTCGGACCTAAAATAGGCTAAAAATAGCAGTTTTTACACAACATGCTGAACTTTTTATTGTGGTGTTATTAATGTCTGTTGTCCTTCGGGAGTGCCGGGACGAAACGAAAGACAGTAAATCAATGTTTTGTGATCAGTTTAATTTGGCAGAAACACAGCAAACACTCTTACTTGACAATCCTTTGTGTCAAGAAACGGGTCATTGTGTGGTAAAAAGTGTAGAAATGAAAACGAACGACGTGTGTTAATAGGGAAATAGCTGGAAAGAGCCATGTTGATGCATGTGTGCCGTGAGCGATTCTGGTACTTTTTGGGTCGCAGTCGTTTACGGCACTGCTTCAACGGCGTGCTATTCTCACGAGGGACGAGCAAAATATCAAACACGCCAGAAATTTGTGTGAGCTCACGATTGCTGATCGGTAGCTGGTCACGTGGTTAATCGCCTCCCGTAACCCCCTGTATACTACACGACGCTCAGCACAAAACTTGCCCCGGTCTTGTAGATTCTTGCACGAGGGCAAAATCATCTCAAAAAAGTGAAAAAGTCGCACAGTGCACCCCGGGCTTAATGTATTAATCCTGTTCAAAAGTGAGAGGTCTGAGAAAATTTGCAATATGTGTAGCAAATGATGTATTTTGCATTAAATGGATAACTGCATTACGTTTTCTAGGCTACGTAATGTTCACAAGGTTTACTGTTTTTTCATTTTTGTTGGAAAAATTTAACTTTTGAATTTTGCTGCTAAAGAAACTCCTTGAAGCCCACGAGGAGCAGAACAGTGAGGCATTCACAGAAGCTGTGAAGGAATTTGATTCCGTGTCCCGTCTGGACCAGTGGTTGACCACGATGCTGCTCCGCATCAAAAAGACCATCCAGGGAGACGCCGGCGACTTGAAGTAGACAAATACGGAGGACATCAGAAAGGGAGAAAGTGAAGTTGCAGAAGGAAGAAAGGTCAAAGAGAGCGAGGCTTGGTGATAATGGTAGAAAGTGTGTTAAGGCGGACCAGAATTAAAGGCAGAAAAATTACAAATATGTACATATCAGTCTGCATGTGACTCCCAATCAAATTTGCATCACCTTCAAACCACTGATAGATGACCCTGTGCCCGTTCTACAGTGTTGCTCAGTAACAACAAACAGAACTGTACTTGCAGAGAAATTGTGTGTGTGCAAAAGAGAAAATGTGTGTGTCCACTGCAGTAAGGAATTATACTTTTGATGAGGTGTGCAGGTGTGTTGAAACTGAATGCTATTTAAAAGATTATTCATATTTATTGTCAATACTGAAAATATATATTGTTTGTTGTGCTCAGTGTCACAGTTTGTCTTGATATTTTAGATATTATTCCCTACGCTCCTCCTCTGTGTTCTCCATCCTACTTTCAGCTTCACACCCTATCCGAGTCAGTAAAATCACTGATTGTGATTGATTGTTTCCTGTGACGGCAGAGCAATTAGCCACAAGAGCTAACTCCTGCTGCTGCCTTCTTTGTGCATGTCTCTGTTGATGTAAGTGTTCTCTGTGTTGTGGTATCTAGTAAAAACATCCTGTATGTGTGAAGCAAATAAATACGTACCTCTGATATAAAGTTGAAATAAAAAATATCATCATGCCAAATATGTGGCTGTTTATTGAATTTATTTATTTGATTTTTTTTTATTGTTGTTGCCACTAGGATTCTATTTGACTTTTATTTCCCAAATTTCTTCTTAAACGGTGGTAGAGTTTGAGTGTGTAATGGTCATAGGAGCTATGATGTAAAGGGAACATTGTACCTCGTAGGTTTTGGCAGAATGTGAGTGCTCAGACAAAAAGCAGTTCAGAAGACCTTTCATGGACAAACCAATAGACCCAGAGGGTTACCACTAGGGTCCCACCTGGAGCCAGACCTCCAGTTGGGGCTGGTGTGCAAGTGCCTGGAGATCGTGCCCAGCCTGAACCCCCTATATGGGCTCATCCATCTGTGTCAATAAAAAGGGAAATACAGTGCTGCTTGTTGTTGTTGTGCAGTCAAACAAAGAGCCAGAATCAACAAAATGCTTGTTAAAGCTATTTACCACCTCTGTCTTATCATAGACAGGAACAGAGTCTATCAAGGCATTATGGAAGAGACAAATCTTCTAATTACAGATAGACTTTTCGGTAGGTTATTTAGGCTTTCTGTTGTAACTGATGAATACTAGTTTGATTTAGTCTTCTTGATAAATACATTTCTTTCTTATATGCCTAGAATAATCAGATGAAGAGTCATCTTTCCTGGCTTTGGCCCATGCTACATTACGCTGATGGAGGGACTCTGACCATTCTGGAGAAAACCAAGGGTTTCCCTGTCCCCTGACTCTGAATTTCCTAATAGGAGCATGTTTGGTTACAGCACAGGTGTCCAACGCCGGTGTGGTGGCGGTGATGGGCCGGTGAAAACTCCGCTGGTGATCGATTCAGCCCCGAGGGTGTAAACCGCGGGAATTGCAGCAGGAGGGGGAGGAACCGCAGGAAAAAAATCACTGCTAGCAGGGGGGTGGCCCAACACAGCCTCGGTGACAATAATAATGATGATGGCTGGGTTAGTTTGGGAGAAGAGGAACAGAATTCCAAGTGGATCGGGTATTTTGATGAGCCAGTTGGATACTGTGGAGACAGGGATCTGTCAAATTCAGAACACAAAGATTTTTATGTCACTTTTTTTTTTGGATGAGTAATTCTGGACCCTCATCACATATGAAACTAACCAATATGCTCACCAGTATTTAGAGAGGGAGGAACTGAAATCTAGCTCCAGATATAATGACTGGTACGATGTAACTGTCCCAGAAATGAAAGCGTTCATTGCCATTCAGTTCTGCATGGGGCTTGTGGAAAAGCCTGAGATTGAGGATTTATATATATATATATATATATATATATATATATATATATATATATATATATATATATATATATATATACATATATATACATATATATATATATATACATATATACATACATATATATATATATATATATATATATATATATATATACATATATATACATACATATATATATATATATACATATATATATTATAAACAAAATAGACCAAAGAAGGGATGAGTGAATTGTGTTCATGACACTGAAGCACCAAAAACAGTGTTCTTGATTGATACGCAGTAAACATAACAAAATACCAATAAAGTAATAAATGTTATATATATATACATACATAGTTATATATGTCTACATAGGAATATGTATATATGTATCATAAACAATAACAACACTAAGAAAATAAAACAAAAACATTAAAAAACTACAAAAATCTGCAAATGTGATGCAATCCAATATGGCTGCCACCTGATGACGTCATAATATGCAAATTATGGGAGTGAATTTGTTCCTATCACAAAATTTGGCTCGTACTGAAGATTTTTCTAATTTACAATATTCCTCTATCTCTAACCAGATTTAAGCTACAAGCTCTTTAAATATTGATATAAAAATCATATTTTACTGAAAAAACTATGGCCCCTAAAGGGTTAAGTTGAGTAAACAAATGCACATTGAAAACACTTCAATGCTATTTTATTAAAAAGCCTGTTTTTTAAAACGTTTTACCCCCATTTGATGCAAAATAAGTTCTAAGGTCCAAATAACATTAGAAAGCATCCTGCTGCATTCAACATTTATAATGCATTTAGTTTAGATAAATTATCTACATGTTATTACTCTGTAGTAATGCATCGTGTACGTTTAACAAGTTCATTCTGTAGCTTAAAACATACATGAAAATATCTAAAGTTAACATGTATGTCCTGAAAGCTTCTAGAATAAACAAAATTACTTTACCTGAAAACGGTTGTGAACAAACGCTGCTGATGGACGTGAAGCTGCTCTAGCTCCTTGATATTCCTGCTCGAGTTTGGGCAATTGCCCATTTTGTAGATAAAGAAGGACATGTTCTAGAACATCAAGATTTTTGCCAAAAGTTTATTATCCAATGTTCTAAAAAGGGTTATAAAATCCATTCCACTGTCACTTAAAAACATAGTTGTAAATGATATGATATATTCTGACATCTCCCCCAGGTTAAGACAACTATATATAGATGATATTCGATTTTGTGATGTTAAATGCAATAATAAGTTTCTAAGATCTTCATTAAGGAGTCTTTATTCTCCAAATTTACTTAGATGTAATTACATATTAAAAGATTTCCAAAGGGAAGAAATTGAAAAAATAAGAAGTGATCATATCGCCTTCCCTATCCCTCTAAAGGGAAAGAAGTCCAATTTAAATTTTTGAATAAAATTTACCCAACAAATAGACTCCTTGGGGATAGATTCAATATAGAAGCTGGTAATTGTGTATTTTGTGAAACAGAAGAGGAAGACTTACCATCTATTTTTTTTTGTTCATTTTTGGTTCATTTCAAGGTCCTGGTTCTGGTCTATAGGGCCTTACATGGACAAGCACCATCTTACATTGGTGATCTTCTTAGTCCCTACACGCCCAGCAGGTCCCTGAGGTCCAGTGATCAAAGCCTACTGGTTGTGCAGCACCAGGCTAAAGACCAAAGGTGACAGATCATTTGCTGCTGTGGCCCCCAGACTCTGGAACTCTCTTCCCCTGAGCCTGAGATCAGTGGACTCAGTGGTCTCCTTTTAAAAGCAGCTGAAGACTCACTTGTTCAAGCTGGCTTTTGTATGACCTTCTTCACCACTCTCTCTTTATTCTGCTCTCCCCACCTATTCCACCTTTCTCAGGATCCACTGATTTCCCTCTTTCCTATTCACTCTCTCTCTCTTAACATTTTTTAATCACAATTGTCTCTTTTTGCTCATTTTAAATATATTTTAAAACATTTTCTAAATGCTTTTTTATATTTTAAAATTTTTTGTTTTTGTGAAGTGCCTTGTGATTTTTATCTTGAGAGGCGCTATAGAATTTATATTTTCTTCTTCTTCTTCTTGTGCAATTTTATACAAATATTTTGGTTGGATTTTCATGCCTGGCTTTGTTCTAGTGGGATTTAAATTACCCCATTTACCTTAAATATGATAACGTTTGGAGTGTTTTTGAAAGAAAAGAATGTTAATTATGGTGTTAATGTGTTATTAATTTTGTGCAAGCAATTTATACATAAACGGTGTTTTTTTAAGACCAAACCAACACTAGCTTATTGGAAAAACGACTTATTGGTTAAATCTTTGACTTTAGTTAAAAAGAAAAAGGCAGATTTTTTTATTTCCTTTGTAGAAGATTTTGAGTTAGTAAGTTAATAATCTGTTAATTATGTGACCCCATCTTTAGATTTCTTTTTTCCTATACATGAAAGTCATTAATATGTAAGGAATTATTATTGTCTGAATATGTAATGAAGGGTGCATTTTGTTTGTATGTTATATTTTCTAATAAAAAAAATATAAAATAAAAAATTCCTGCTCCATTTTCGCTAGCTTTAGCATTTTTCCTTAGCGTGTAGCTACCGCCACAGCTGTGACGGGACCTATGGGCCACCGTACAGGTGAAGGCAGTTTTTTTTATCATTAAATGCTTATTACAATTTCTCGTGAGACAACAACACATAATGGAAACATACAAGGCATCCTTAGTAACAATAAAAGAAAAACAAATAAGAAACTTTAAAAAGAGGCACTTATATCACAAAGTAAAAACATTGTTACAAGATTAAACATTTTTCTGCAGCATGACAAATGGCTTTTGCAGTTGCATTTGAATTTTTTATACGAGTCAAAGTGGATAAGAACATGTGGAATTCAATTGTGAAACAGTTCATGTTTGGCAGTTGTTTTTTCCATTTGCTTTTGTGGATGTGGTATTTACCCATAATAATAATAATAATGTTAATTAACAATGAATCATTCCCATTTAATTTAGAATTATAAATAAGAATATCTTCATTTGTAAAATGATCAACTTCTCTTATTTTATTTCTTAACCAACAATGGACTTCTTCCCAAAACCTCTTACTTATATGACAGCTGAAAAATAAGTGTTCTGTTCCTTCAGGGCTTTCCTGACAGAATTCACAAGGGTCAACTTCAAAACCAAATCTCTTCCTCAGTGTCTCTGCTGATGGATAGTAGTTGTAAAGCATTTTAAATTGCATTTCTTTTACTTTGAGCATTATAGGCCATTTTAGAAATTTTAATTGTTTTTCTTCAATTTTTGGATTTCCTAGTATTTTTTTAATCTTTCTATCATAATCATGATAGATATATATTTTTAAAGGCTCCATTTAAAAATTTATTTTCACATGTTCTTTCTGTGATGTTCAATTCTCCTATTCAAGGGCGTCAGTTTTTTTTTTCAGAATTGCTGGGGACAATAACCATACACTTGAGTGGGGTTTAAAAATTGCTGGGGACAATAAAGTAGGCTAGCACAGGGGTCGGCACCCCGCGGCTCTGGAGCCACATGCGGCTCTTCCATCCATCTGATGCGGCTCTCTGTGCTTGTAAAATAATGAATGGATATTTAAATAAAAAGCTTTATATTTTACTGCATAAATTTTACATCTGTATGCCAATTCTAAATGTAAAGATTGTCTGCGTAAGCCTGAACAGTTCCAACCCGGTCTTACTGTGAGACCGGGTTGACGTGTCACGCTTGTG